ATCTCCAGGATAATTAAAGGTAATAACAACAAAAAAATATCTCTCAAACTGGCTGCTCTACACTGATGCTTTGCAGAGTAGCACTCTCCAGCAGAGCCAGCATTTCCCTAACAATTCTAAGGAATGTTTGCAGTGCAGTTGAATTCAGATCAGTGCCTTAAAGATCAGAAAGAAATTTCTGTTTTTTTCCCTAATCCAACATTTCCTTCCCTGCTGGTGCCAGCCGGGCAAGATGAACAGCACCTGAAAGGGGGAGTGAGGATTGAAAGAAAAAACAAAAGTCAGAAAAAGATACTTGGGAGGACTGTCAGTAGAAACTGCAGCCCCGGTTTATTTCAGCTCAGCCTTCTTATACAGAAGAACATCAGATAGCCACAGTTTGCTTAGCTCAATTAGCTTCAACAGCTGTTTTTTCCCACCTTTATCTGAGGGTCAAGGAACGGTCAAGTACTTGTTGTGAACTCCACCATTTAACCATCTTCCCTAAATTATCAACACATTCCTCCTGACTTGGCAGAATAATTAGGTACTGGTGTGCAAAACACAAACTCTTGAGTAAAGGTGAAAGATCATAAAGTAAACAAGCAAGCCTGCCACAGCTCAATGTACATAATGGCTGTGCTTATACTAATAGCTCCCAACACTTCCTTAACGTAATATTCATTTCTCCTCATGTCCCATGAACTATTTTCTCTATGATGACTGACAATGGGACTTCCAACTGTTTTCAGGAGCTTCCCCATATACCAACTGTACTGTTTCACCAAACAGTTGTCTACCCATCAGTGCATTTCCTAGGACTGGGTTATTCAACCAGTTCTCTGTTTTTTAGCCGTTTGAGGATCATTTCCATGAATGAGGGCAGTGACTTGGAGTCCTTTGTGCTCTACTGTACTTCCAACACCTGGAATGGAATAGGAATTCCACTAAACATTTGCTCATAAATGAATTCTTCAGAAAGTAGGTAAATCTGAGGCCTTTCTTTAACCTTTTAAAATTTAGCTTTCTGATATCCTTTGAGAATCACTTAAGACTAGGGTATATTTTATAAGACCCTGTCTCAAAAACTGAATTTGATAGCCCATTTCCTGTTTTCGTCTGCTTTGCAATCTGAAGCAATGAAGATCTTTGTCCCAGAGGGCTCCTTGTGCTTTGTGTACTGATTTATGGTCTTGATTATTTGTCTATAGACTGTTCTGAGTTCCGGCTCCAGTAATACTTAGAACACCTTACATGCATGAGCTACAACCCCAGGCTCCTGAGCTGTATCTAAGAACAGGCTGCTCTGAGAGAGGAATCCTGCCTGTCTTTTTGGACTGTGGAATCAGGAGAAATTTTCAGATGTGGGGCATTCATTAAAAATTCAATCTTGCCGGGCATGGTGGCACACACCTTTAATCCCAACACTCAGGAGGCAGAGGCAGGCGGATCTCTGAGAGTTCAAGGCCACCCTGGTCTACATAGTGAGTTCCAGGACAGCTGGGGCTACAGGGAGACCCTGTTTCAAAAAGACCAAAAAAAATTCAATCTCATATGGACCAGTGATTTTATGTGTCTTTTTGTGTGTATGATGTGGGTGTGTCACCATGCATGTGTGAAGGCCACACAACAGCTTTGTGCAGTCGGTTCTCTCATCTTTTTTTTTAATTTTATTTTTATTATTTTATGTGCATGAGTGTATTGCCTGCATGTATGTGAGTGCGCCTTCGTCGTGCAATGCCGCGGAGGTCAGAAGAGAGCTTTGGATTCCCCTGGAACTGGAGTTAAGGACAGTTCGTAGCCACCATGTGGGTGCTGGGAATCGAACGTGGGTCCTCTGCAAGAGCAGTCAGTGCTCTTAACCACTGAGCCATCTCTCCAGCCCCCATTCTCTCATCTTTACACGGGTTCAGGATCAAACTCGGATCACCAGGGCAGTGCCCATACCCTTTGAGCCATCTCAGTAGCCCTGAACCAGTGATTTTACATATCAGAGGTTATATCAAAATACTGTGCTCTGTTCAAAGAAAGTTTATGGGCTGGGGAGATGGTGCAGTGATTAAAATTATAATAAATAAAATGTATATACATTTTTTGTTTCTTTTTTAAATTGGGTATGTGGAGGGACAACATGTCACACATAATATATGCAAGTGATAACTTTGTGGGAGTCTGTGTCCTTTTTTTTTTTTTGGTCTTTTTGAGACAGGGTCTCCCTGTAGCCCCAGCTAGCCTGGAAGTCACTATGTAGACCAGGCTGACTGACCCTGAACTCAGAGATCCTCCTGCCTCTATCTATCTCCTGAGTGCTGGGATCAAAGGTGTGTGCTACCACACGTGTGCTACCACAACTGACCAGTGCCCTCCTTTAACTTTTTAAAAATAATTATTTTTATTTTATGAGTGTATTGCAATGCCCACCGAGGTCAAAAGAGGGCAGAAGAGGACGTCTGATCCCCTGGAACATGTAGTTACAGACACCATGCTGGGAATGGAACCCAGGTCCTATGAGTGTATTGCCTGCATTTATGTAAGTGCACTCATGTCATGCAATGCCCACGGAGGTCAAAAGAGGGCAGAAGAGGGCGTCTGATCCCCTGGAACATGGAGTTACAGACACCATGCAGGTGGCTGGGAACCGAACCCAGGTCCTGTGCAAGAGCAGCCAATGCTCTTAACTGCTGAACCATCTCTCCAGCCTCTCCTTTCACTTCTATGTGGGTTCCAGAGATCAAACTGAGGTCACCAACCTTGTGTAACTTTACTCATTTAGCCATCTCACTTTTTTTTTAAAAACCCACAAGATCTGATCCCCTGTGTAAACTAGGTTGGCCTCAAACTCACAGAACTCTGCTTGCCTCTGCCTCCCAAGTCCTGAAATTAAAGGTATGTGCCTCTCCCAGTACACTGGATCTTTTTGAGACAGGGTTGCAGCAATCTTCTAGCAGAGCATCCCAGTGCTGGGTTAGCATGTGAAGACCACCACATCCTGCTGAGAAATCTTAGTGTCAAAGGAGTTTAGGAGTTACCAGAAAACTTTCCTTAGGCTATCTTAGAAAGGGCAGTCCAGTGGCTGAGCCCTAGATATTTTGGGGAATTTATTTGCTCAGGAAGTAATCATACCTAGTGCACAACACACAAAATACTAAGTAATATACTTAGTAATCCTTTGCAAAATATTGTACCTTTCAGTTGGTTTTAAAACCTAAGCCCATTAATTTTGGTGTAGCCGAAAGAATTAGGAGCTCATGGCCATCGTTGTGCAAGTTTGAGTTATTCCAGAGATAAATGAGACCAACTCATTTTAAAATACGTATTTTCTAATTCAATTATGCTGATTCTTCAGGGCAGGGATTCTATAAAACAAGAAAATCTCTCTGAAGTAAAACAAAAAACCAGCGGACCTGAGTCTCTACAGCGCATCTGAGGAGATAGTGCGTTAAAGAGTGCCAAGAAAAATAAAATTCAAACAACTTTCCTGGATTTGGAAGGCGTTGGGTTTTCCCGAGATTGCTTCTGAGCATGAACGGAAGTCAGGCTTGAGTAGTCTCCGGTGATTTACTGACAGGAGCCATATTTTAGACAGAGTAACTCGTCTCCATTCTGTTCTTCCGGATTCACACACCAGCGGGTCAATTTTTTTTTTTTTTTTCTTTCAAGAAAATAAGAGTTCAGAGAAGGCTTTAAGGCAACACAACTCTTTATCTTCCCGTAGTAAAGATGGCGACACCCTGAACGTAAATTACAAGGAACACCACTTCCGCGTTTCTCTTGCTCCCTGGTCCAAGATGGCGGATGAGGCCACTCGGCGGGTCGTTTCTGCGATCCCAGTGCTGAAGACTAACGCCGGACCCCGAGATCGAGAACTGTGGGTACAACGACTAAAGGAGGAATATCAGTCCCTTATCCGGGTCAGTTGTATTTTTATGGTCGATCGCGTAGCAAAAAGGGTGGCGGGTGACTATGTGTCCTCAGGAACTGACTCCGTGTGGAAGCCGCTTCCGGTTTTTAAAATTTAAAGTCCTAAATTCATAGAAATGCGGTGATTTCGGGGTTGGAGGGATTACAGGTTGACGGAAGGACGATGCTGAAGAGATTTCGTTTAAGAACCCAGTAGGGCCAGACCTTGAAGCAAAAAACAGCAGTATTTTAGGGAAACACCTCCTTGAAGGTGACGTGTCTTTCCGGCTCCAGGTGTTTGCTCTACTGAATTTGGGAGTAAGGGGTAAAAAGTATCTTAGACCCCTAAGTTTCAGTCTATCTCTGCTCCCTCCTTCACTTTTGGTAATGGAGGAATAAATGTCAGGGCTGAAAACTTAAGGTATTAGATGCAGAGAGTTAGAGATTAGAGCTTTTAGTTAGAAATTAGCTATCTTTTAGCTAATCTTTTTACTGTGACAAGAAGAAAGATTATATTCGTTATAGTGGTTTCAACTATATCTATTACCTTATAAGTTTTATGAAATCCCAGCATTCAGGATCAAGAAGCAAGAGAATCAGGAGTTCAGGATCATTCTGGATTACATAGTGAGTTCAAAGCCAGCCTGGACTACATGAGACTCTGCCTCAAACAAAAGGAAAACAAAACCCCAAAATAATTGTAGTCCTAGGACCTAAGGAGGGGAATACAAAGCTAAATAAGGAGGATCATACAGAGGTAGACAGAAGCAGTGTCATAATGTGTTTAAGTGGAGAATGACAGAGACATGGCTAGGCTGTTTGAGAACACGAGGAGAGATGTGTAATTCAACTTCAGTTTGCTAAGAGAAGGCTTCTCCCCCCCCCATTATTTTTATTTATTTGTGTGTATGAGTGTATTGCCTGCATGTGTAAATGCACCCATGTCGTGCAATGCCCTCTGAGGTCAGAGGATGTTGTTGGGATCCCCTGGAACTGAAGTTACAGATGGTTGTTTAGCCATCATGTGCTGGGAATCGAACCCCGGTCCTCTGCAAGAACAGTCAGTGCTCTTAACTGCTGAGCCATCTCTCCAGCCCCGAGGAGGCTCCTTGGAAGTGGTTATACTTGAGACTTAATGGATAAACAGGGGTGGAGAGATGGGTAAAAACACCTTCTGCCCACCTGAGTTTGATCCCTGGAACCCACATGGTAGAAGAAAGAACTGACTCCAGCAGGTTGTCCTCTGACCATCACATGCACATCATGTGTGGGTATACACACACACACACACACACACACAATAAATATAGTAGCCTGATAAAACATAATGGTAGGAGGACACTCTGGGTACAAGGACAGCGTGAACAGAGGCATGCACACTTGAAACAGCCAAGAGTCTGTAATTCCAGTACTTGAGAAGCTGGGGCGGGGGTACTACAGGTTTGAGGACAGCTTGGATTACATAGAATTCCAGGCTAGCCCGGGCAATATAGCAAGACCTTGTCTTACAAAACAAAACCAGCATGGTATATTTGAAGAAACAAGTAGTTCAGAGCTGCGAGAACATCAGATGATGTGAAGTAGGGAGTGTTAACAGTGCTGGGGAGATTGGTCTGAATACTTGAATTTTATTTTGGAATTTTGTGTGTACCTTTCTTTTTTTTTGAGATAGGGTTTCCCTGTAGCCCCAGCTGGCCTGGAACTCACTATGGAGACCAGGCTGTCCTTGAACTCACAGAGATCTGCCTGCCTCTGCCTCCAGTGCTGGGACTAAAGGTGTGCACGCCTGGCTCCCTTTTAAAGATTTTTTTTTTAATTTTAATTTTAATTTTTATTTTTAATGTGTATGAGTGTGTTGCCTACGTGTATGTGAGTGCACCCATGTCATGCAATGCCTCGGAGGTCAGAAGCTGGCTTCAGATTCCCCTGGAACTGGAGTTAAGGACAGTTCGTAGTTGCCATGTAGGTATTGGGAATTGAACCCAGGACCTCTGCAAGAACAGGCAATGCTCTCAACCGCTGAGCCATCTCTCCAGCCTCCTTTTAAAAATTTTAAGCTGAGGAATAACGTGGTCAGATTTAGGCTTAGATTAGTCGTAGTGATGGCCAAGAGAAAAATACAATTGATAGGAATAAAATGGATAGTGGGAATCAGGCTAAGAGGATATCATTCAAGTGATAGGAAGATGATGATCTAGTCTCTTTTTATTTAATTTATTTATTTTTATTAGTTATTATTGCTTTGGGATTTGGCTTTCTTTTCGAGATAGAGTCTCCCTGTAGCCCAGCTGGCCTGGAGCTCACTAAGTAGACCAGGCTGGCCTCATTCTCACAGAGATCTGCCTGCTTCTGCCTCCCAAGTGCTGGAACTAAAGGCGTGGGCCACCCTGCCTGGTGATGATCTAAATTAGACAGTTGTGCTGGGCCTGATGGTACAAACCTGTGATCCCAGCTACTTGGGAGGCTGGGGCCAAAAGATGACAGATTCAAGGCCAGCCTGAGTAATTTAGTGAAACCCTGTCAAGATAAAGTTGAAAGAGACCTAGGGCTGGGTATAGTGGCATATACCTATAAACCTAGTACTGGGGAGGCAGAGGCAGAGGCAGGAGGATTTTGGTGAGCTTAATGTCAACCTAGGCTATAGAGTGAAACCCTGTAACAAACAAAAGAGAATAAAATCAACAGGCTATCATGAAAAGTTAGTGGGAAAGAGAGAGAGTCAAGAATGACTGTCATTTTTTTCCCCCCTTAGGTGACTGATACTGCCACCTGAAATTGAGAATGCAAGCAGATAAACTGTGCATGGTAGTAAATATCTGTAATCCTAGCACGCAGGGGGGTGGGTGGAGGCAGGTAGAAGTTCTAAATTTCAGTTGTTTGTTAAAGGTAGAAATTGGAACATATAGTTGGATAGTGTAGAGTCTGAAATTCTGACAAAAACCCTGAAGATATAGATTTGAGACTCACTAGCTTATAAGTGCTAATGGAAGCTAGCACCGTGTCTTCCAGAAAGAGTGTATACCATAAAATAAATTTCAGGCTACTATTAAAAGCAAGAAAGTAACCCCATGATTTCTTCAAATATTTTGTGCTTGCTAAATTGTAGGGAACCCAAGCATTCCGTTCTCTGCTCTGCGAACACTCCCAGCTTGTGTAGCCTTTTCTTCCATTCAGCTTGTGTCTGAAAAGTTGTGTAAATGTACTAAGAAAGAAAATAATTATACTTTTGAGGAGCAGGGGTTATCCTTAGCCCTAGCTCCATCTTCAAAGATCTCATTTTCTGCTTTCAGTATGTGGAGAACAACAAGAATGCAGACAACGATTGGTTCCGACTGGAGTCTAACAAGGAAGGGACCCGGTAGGCAGACCCTCTTGGGAGGTGTGGGTAAGAGTCTCACTTGGTTTAAGTGATTTGGTAAACCCAGACTCAGGGCCAGAGCTGCCATGTACCATGTTAGAGTTCCCTAATTCCTGACCCATGAGTCTTCAGGTTGGTAACCTAAGCTGAGATGCCATTTGAGTATGATAGGCATAGGAAAATTGGGCTGAGGTTTGGTCTTTGTTTCAGGTGGTTTGGAAAATGCTGGTACATCCATGACCTCCTCAAATATGAATTTGACATCGAGTTTGACGTGAGTGTCATAGAATGGGAAATGTAAAGGTTAGTAGAAAGGAAGCAATTAGGTGATTGTTAACAAAACTTAAAAAATGGGAGGGAAAGCTGAGGTTTGAAGCAGGTACATAATGGTTACTGATCTCTGTGTCTAGAATGCTAGCATGTACTGTTGCTTGAGGAGTCTGCTGAACATTTCAGTTCAACCAAGAACTATGTATATTTGATTAGATTAGTTCATTTCTGTCTCAGTTCTCTGTTTTATTAAGACTTTGTAATTTCTCCAGATTCCTGTCACATATCCCACTACTGCTCCAGAGATTGCAGTCCCTGAACTGGATGGGAAGACAGCAAAGATGTACAGGTAGGATGAATAGGAGATGAAAAAGAGCAAAGAAGTCCTTAGGGAAGAACTTAAGAGACCAAAGATAAGCCTGCTGGCCTAGAGGAGGTCCAGATCTCCCTCTGCCAAGCCTTTGCAAAGTACTTAGCTGACCTTGTTCTCAATTCTGAGCACAATCTTCCTGTGTTCCCAAGAGGCTGCTATATATTATGGTCAGTTTTGCATGTCAACACTTTCTTCTTGTCCCTCTCATAGGGGTGGCAAAATATGCCTGACTGATCACTTCAAACCTTTATGGGCCAGGAATGTACCCAAGTTTGGACTAGCTCATCTCATGGCCTTAGGGGTAAGTTTGTTATTGTTGGTATATAAGAGGTAGAGGGAGGCGGTTCAGGCCCTAAGCAGTACAGGAAAAGTAGCTGAGACTAGCAGGGAGTAACACTTGTTCCTTGGGCATGTTCTCCCAGTCTCCAGGAAACAGTTTCAGGTGTAACAAGAGGCACTGCCTATGTAGTAATAATCTCACAGGGTTTCCCTTGTATTGCAGCTGGGTCCTTGGCTGGCAGTGGAAGTCCCTGATCTGATTCAGAAGGGTGTGATCCAGCACAAAGAGAAATGCAACTAATGAAGGATCAAGCCACTGAAGCAGGACAGAGGGACTTTTGATAGACTGTGTTCCCCTTTTCTTGTGCATCATTGTTCCTACTCATGGTCCCTGCTCCCCACACCCATTCACCTCTGGTCATGAAGTAGCTATAGCAGGCATTACTGGAGGAAAAAAGACCAATAACATAGTGATGCCACTAAGTTAAGCTGTTCAGAGAGGGGAAAGACTTGGCTCTTGAAAAACCAGTTTGTAGTTTATATCCCCTCCCTAGGTATTGCCATGAAAACCTCAAATCTTGGAAGAATAGGTGTTAATGATAGTATATAGTGTTTTTTTGGTTTCTGGAGACAACTTGTTAATAAAAGCTGCTTCCTGTGCTAGCCTGTGGTTCTCACTGGTGGTTGTTATCAAGCTGAACAAGCTAAATCCAGAGACACAGGAACAGCTACACTAGGTTGGGAGGGCAAAATTTCACAAGCTGACAAATGAAAGAAAACCTGTTTTCTCTGTTGCTGAGATTTGTCTCTGCCGTTTAGCAGGGAGCATGCTTTCCCTTTGTTTGAGCCTGCAAAGAAGCTTGAGGAATGGTTTTGCAGGTCCAGTTTCTCTGCCCTCTAGAGATCTTACCATCCCGAGGTGGAGTGCTTCTCTACCTGTCTGCAGGGTGGACCTGGGCCTGCAGCCTGCCACACTACATCCCTGGTCTGGAAAGATTCTGTGTTGCAAGCCCTTCTGCCATTCTTCGATTTTCAGATCTACATCCCTGTGGGTCACACAGGACGCGGTGAGGCGCCTCGCCCTCAGGAACTTGCAGCAATGGCTTAAAGATCACCTTGGGCCTGAGGAACCAGTGGTTCTAAAGTTGGCTGTGTTTCCATGGTGTCGACTATGGAGCCGTGGGGGCGGGTTCACGCAAGCGCCGAGGAGGCGAGTGGGAGGGGTCCTAGTGTGGGCGCGCAGGCGCTTTAAGAGACAGTGAAGCTGGTGGCCGGTGGCCGGGCGGCACCAACAAAGATGGCGGCGGCCCTTGCGGCGGGAATGATCTGGGGAAGAGCTGCCGCTAAGGCTGTAGCCCGGCCCGCAGGGAGGCTGTTCGGGGGTAGGAGGGGGTGGCCCTGAGCTGGAGCCGGACCCCGGCTGGCCTCCCCCGCCGCCTCACCGGGGGACAGGTACGGGCGGGACGGTACGGCGGGGTGGGGTGGGGGAGCCCAGGGAGGACGGCTCCAGACCCCAGAGGACGTTCTCCACAAAGGGAGAGGCTCGCGGTGCCCAGTGGGACCTGGGAGAACTGGGCTGGAGGGAGAGCATTCTCGGACCGTGGGGAATATGCTGCCGGACCTTGTAGCCAATCAGCGGCCTCGGCCTTTCTGCCCTCGAGGGGGGCGGACCCGGGTAAAGCCCTGCCATGGTGGGAGAGGTGCAGAGAGAATAGGGGTCAAGTAGTTCGTCCTCCATCCCCATCCATTGCCCTCTGGACCCCAATACCAAGTCGGAGCTCAGAAGTGGGGGAGGGAGTGGACTGCAAATCACTCGTTTAATCTGCTTCATTTGTAACCCAGAGGGGCAGGGGTTGAGGATGGAATGCCGTCTTTTGGGCTATTACTGCATTCACAGTCCCAGATCCAAGGCACAACCCACATGACTAGCCAGGTAGGAGGGCTCTTAAGAGTTTGTAGATTATAAAGACCGCTGAGATTGGGACTATTGCTGGTTTTTCAGTAAAGCTATAATCTATAGAGAGGGGTGGGGCATAGAAAGGGTCCAAATGATAGGCTATTCAGTCATTTGTTTACTCAAGGGATACTGTTTTCTTCCTGCTAAACACTGCTAGGTACTGGGATGCATTTACTGATTTATAGACGTGATTCATGGCTTCAGTACATGTAGAAGCTAGCTTGTATGGTAGCCTAGTCTCATCTTCTCTATTTCAAATGCTGACTCTTAATTCTCCTATCAGGTCCAGCCTGCGGTGTCCACAATGCCCCAGGCCTCTGAGCACCGCCTGGGCCGGACTCGAGAGCCACCTGTCAATGTACAAGCCCGAGTGGGATCCAAGATAACATTTCCTCCTCGGGCCCGCAGCAAGGAGCGCCGAAACCCAGTTCCTGGGCCAAACTCCATGTTAAGACCTTTGCCACCCAGGCCAGGTCCCCCTGATGAACGGCTCAAGAAACTGGAGCTTGGTCGGGGTCGGACCTCAGGCCCTCGCCCTAGAGGGCCCCTTCGGGCAGATCATGGGGTTCCCCTGCCTGGCTCACCACCCCCAATGGTGGCTCTGCCTCTCCCATCCCGGACCAACTTAGCCCGTTCCAAGTCTGTGAGCAGTGGGGACTTGCGTCCAATGGGGATTGCCTTGGGAGGGCACCGTGGCACTGGAGAGCTGGGGGCTGCATTCAGCCGCTTGGCACTCCGACCTGAGCCACCCACTTTGAGACGTAGCACATCTCTCCGCCGTCTTGGGGGCTTTCCTGGACCCCCTAACGTGCTCAGCATAAGGACAGAGCCCCCTACTTCCCATGGCTCCTTCCACATGGTATCTACCCGGCCCTCTGAGCCTTTCTTCTCTGATGACAAGATGGTGAGGACTTGCCAGCAACGTCCCCTGCCATGCTCATGTTCTGTTATGCCTCCAACTGTCTTGTCATGTTGTGACTTTCTGTCCTTCGAGTCCCTTTGTCAACCTCTCATTACACTGATGGAGTCTTCCCCCTTCTGGGTTTTCTAGATCGTATTTTTGGTTGTGTGTGATTCCCCAACTTGGTGTGCCATTCTAGTCCCCAGGGAATTACCCAACTATTTAGAATTCTTCTTTGGGTCCTTAGGCCCTTCCTTTCTTTTACTGTACCTTCTCTCCTAGGACTGTGCCTAGGCCTAATTAATCCCTGGAGCTAAAGAGGGACGGGCTTAGAACATCTGAGCAGATGTGGTTGCCCATTTCCTGAGCTAACTGAGCTAGGCTGATTGCAGTTGGAGCCAGCAGGAGAGGGTGCAAGAAAGGGCCACGGGGGCAGGAGGGGGATTTGGGGGTAGCAAGGTGGGGGTGGGGAGCAACTGGGCAACCATGCCAGTGCTTGGGGAGTTGCCGCAGGAGCTGCAGCGCCGACTAGCTGGCCAGAGGAGTAGATGGGGAGTAGGTGTGACAGCCATGGCTGAGTCTGTGGTACACTCAGCTGTGATGGGTTTACTGCTCATGACCAGTGAGGTAGGGAGACCAGTGAGGAAAAGAGGGTAGAGTTGGGGCATGTATGGGGTTGGGGAGGCAGTTGACAACATGCTATGGAGAGACTGAAAGTGCCACTTAGACTATGTGGAGACCTGCTGACTATACTCTGACCTTCCAGGCTCATCATACACTGCTTCTGGGCTCTGGTCATGTTGGTCTCCGAAATCTGGGAAACACAGTAAGAGCCATTTTCCTGTCCTTCCTCTATAAAAGGAATGTGAAATAATGTTGGGGTGGAGACAACCTGCGGGTTTGGGGAAGGCATGTGGAAGGAGGGCACTGAAGCTCTTCTAAGTTTGTGGGCACCAGTCTGGAAAGATAATGGCAGTGTTCCTACTGCTCCCCAGTGCTTCCTGAATGCCGTTCTCCAGTGTCTGAGCAGCACTCGGCCTCTTCGAGACTTTTGTCTTAGAAGGGACTTCCGGCAAGAGGTGCCTGGAGGAGGCCGAGCCCAGGAGCTCACTGAAGGTGGGCAACAACTCCTGTTGTCTTTCTCCCAACCCCTGCAGTTCTGTCTGCTAATGCTCATAGCCTCCAACCCTTCAATCTGGCATTTATATCCATTTTTCCCAGGGTCTGCTTTCCCTAGAGGTGGTTTTTTCTACCCACTGACTCTCTTGCCCACGCCTCCAGATGTTAATCTTTGTGTTCTTCCCCATTTTCACCTCATAGCCTTTGCAGATGTGATTGGTGCCCTCTGGCACCCTGACTCCTGTGAAGCTGTGAATCCTACTCGATTCCGAGCTGTCTTCCAGAAATATGTTCCTTCCTTCTCTGGATACAGGTGGGAAAACTGGGGGGATAGGATTTGACTCTGACCAAGTCTGGGGTTGGGGCCAGCAGCATTGTTCTGAGTCTTAAGATACTCTCCATCCAGGAAGTAGGGACCCATATTTGGGCAGGGGATACTGTCTTTGGAGTAGATCAGTTATCCATATTCTGTCTGGCTGTAGCCAGCAGGATGCCCAAGAGTTCCTGAAGCTCCTCATGGAGCGGTTGCACCTTGAAATCAACCGACGAGGCCGCCGGGCACCACCAATCCTGGCCAATGGTCCATTTCCCCCTCCACCTCGCCGAGGAGGGGCTCTACGTGAAGAACCCGAGTTAAGGTAAGAGTTGCTCCTCCTCCCTCCTCTCCCTAGTTGATCAGGATTCATCTTCATAAAACTAAGCTAGTCAAGACTGGAAATATAGGGCCTAGGGAAACCCTTTAGCATAGAAAATGGGTGAGAAGCAGTTAGAAATAAAAGGAAGGAAGGAATGGGGGAGGAGGGAGGCTGAAGGTTGCAGATGGAGGCAGAAAATAGTGCTAGGGATGTGACCAAACTGGGGGGGAGGGGGTACAACAAAGTACATGAAAAGGGCTTGTGGAGGAAGATGACATCTTCTTCCCTTATGTATATTCTTTTTCCTCTCATCTTTAATTTCCCCCAGAAAGTTCCCAGAAGCATTATTGTAACTAGAAATTTAGGGAAGGAGCTGGTGTGTGGGTGGGAAACAGGGCTATGTGGATAATTTCAGTGGTGTTGGGGGTGCCCAGTATTGCTGCTATCTCACGGATGCCCCCCACTTCCTTGATCTGTGGTAGTGATGATGACCGAGCCAACTTAATGTGGAAGCACTACCTGGAGCGAGAGGACAGCAAGATTGTGGGTATGGAATGGGGCAATGCAATGGGGGATAATTAGTGTGTGTTGTATGTGTGCAGGCTTAGGGGCAGAGAAATTGCTGTTATTAATGGGTATGGGAGCAAGACTGGATGAAGGAAATGTGAAACAGTGTGAAGAGTTTAGTGGCAATATTGTAGTTAGAAAGGAGGATCAAGCAAAGGGTTGGGAAGAAACAGAATTCCAAGAAAGCACCTTGGGCATCCAACAATGATTTTTTTTCTCCCGCTCCTTTGCTTCCCTCTAGACCTGTTTGTGGGCCAGTTGAAAAGTTGCCTCAAGTGCCAGGCCTGTGGGTATCGCTCCACGACCTTCGAGGTTTTTTGTGACCTGTCCCTGCCCATCCCCAAGGTGGGATTCCAGAGGATTCCAGGGGTGGAAAGAACATGGGGTTTGTGACCCAACCCTACCCACCCCTAAGTGTGGATGGGAACTCTTTGGGTCTCTAGAGCAGAGTTGAAGCCTGGATTAAGAGTTGAAAAAGGAATTCAGAACATGCTGACCCTTTCTTTCCCTTTCCCCCCAGAAAGGATTTGCTGGGGGCAAAGTGTCTCTGCGGGATTGTTTCAGCCTTTTCACCAAGGAAGAAGAGCTAGAGTCAGAAAATGCCCCAGTATGTGGGGTTTACAAGGGTGGGAGACCTGATAGGGGTTAGGGGTAAGGGAGGATTTTATGGGTAAAGGGAGATGCATGCTTCCTTAGCATGGGGAATAGTGGTTTACATGCTTCTGTTTGTGGAGTCTCAACTATGTCCTCCTAGTGCACCTGTGGAAGGCTGGGGAGGGGGGGGCGGGGGGTTGCCCCCAAGTAAATAGAAATGTACTAAATTTTTTTTGTGAATTGGGTGTCAGAAAAGCCAGCTGATGTGAGAGCACATTAACCTAACACCATTTGGCATTTATTTAGGTATGTGACCGATGTCGGCAGAAAACACGAAGTACCAAAAAGTTGACAGTACAAAGATTTCCCCGAATCCTTGTGCTCCATATCCTAGTCTTCGAGTTCTTATTTCTCTTAGGATATCTCCCATACATTGTTTCCTCACCTTCACCAAGTTTTACTTAGGAAAAGTCTGCCACCTCAACTTGCTCTACCAGCTCCCAGGATGTGTTGGGGGAGTGAGGGGTACACAATTTAGGAGCACAGTCCCCCTTAGAGTCCCTCTACTTCCCAAATGCTCCTTAACCAGGGCTTAGATCTGAATCGATTTTCCACCTCCCGAGGCTCCATCAAGAAAAGTTCAGTAGGTGTAGACTTCCCGCTGCAGCGACTGAGCCTAGGGGACTTTGCCAGTGACAAAGCCGGTGAGTCTAGTGGAGAAGGTCCTAAGGAGCCTTTAGGAGGGGAGCACAACTCTCGACTGCAGAACTTGCTCTTGTCTAACCCCACAGGAAGCCCTGTATACCAGCTGTATGCTCTTTGCAACCACTCGGGTAGCGTCCACTATGGCCACTATACAGCCCTGTGCCGGTGCCAGACTGGTTGGCATGTCTACAATGACTCCCGGTGAGAACAGCCTCCTATTCAACTCCTGCCCCACCCCACTGCACCCCTGGCACCCTCCCTGTCTATGAAGCCCCAGGAGACAGAGAGTGCCTGACAAAAGGCAAGGTGGTGGTGGGGTCTCATTCTCATCTCTGCCTGAATACTCTGAGGTTGAATCTTGTGGGAAGGAGGGAATACACAGGAATGACTAGAACCATGGCTCCATTTCCCTTCCTAGTGTCTCCCCTGTTAGTGAAAATCAGGTGGCATCCAGTGAGGGCTACGTGCTGTTCTACCAACTGATGCAGGAGCCACCCCGGTGCCTGTGACACCATCTTGAAGCCCTGGCACCTGTGAAACCCTTTCAACATCCTTCAGCCCCCAGGCTCCCCATTTACCTCAGAGACGTCTATTTTTGTGTCTTTTTAATCGGGGAGGGGGGTGGGTGGGGTTGTAGTTCCCATTATTTTTTTTAAGAAGTATCCTTCCACTTGGAGGCTCCCATGTCTCCCTGCCCCATGTACAGATCTCACCAGGCCCCTGTCCGTGTACAGCCCCCAGAACCTCTGCAATCTCACTTTTTTGTGAATAAATTTTAATAAAAGTGATGTTCGTGTTTGTATTCGCATTTGTGGGTGGACAATGGAGATAGAGAACTCATCCAGCTGGAGCCTTCCTGGGACCCGGTTCCACGTCTGGACAGGTGGGGGCGCTCTCAGAACAGAAGGGAAAAAAGACAGGCGTGGTGCCGGTCCCAGTCTTGTGCCCAAGGAGTTAGGATTTAGGAAAAGGAAATCCAACCTTGAGACTTGTGAAGCTGCAGGGAGGCCTGAAACCAAGGTTGCAGGCATTGAGACGCCGGCTTTTGCCAGAGATGGGGACTGCCCCTAGAGAGCAAGGCCTCCAAGAACCCCTGTTGACAAACACTGGTTTCGTTGCCGAGCGGCCCTAGCTCCCGTAGGCCCAGCCTGTTGCTAACATCAAGGAGCTGTTTATGGTGCGACCTCCCCACGGACGGGCCTCCAGTGTCCCTGTCTCTCCCTACCACCAAAGCCCGAGGGGCCCGCCCTCCGGGGTTCTCACCCCAGGCCTGGGAAGCTTGAGCCGGGGAATGCTAACGCCCGGATCCAGCTCCTCGCTGGCCCCTGGGACGGCAGCGTTACTGCAATTGACTACCATCGGGCAATGGACTGGTTAACACCCACTGAGCTGACTCAGAGGTCGCGGTTGCTCGGCGTCTAGCGTCACGGCCAATTCGGTGTGTTCATTGGAGAACGTGATCCCGGGTTCGCCAATCCAGGACCCACCAATCCAAAAGCAGGAAAGAGGCTCGGGTGCGTGCCGCCAGAATGGAGTGGACCGAGAGTCGGAGAGACAGAAAGAGTTAGGGGCGGGGACCCCAGACTTGCATTTGCGACCCGGTTTTGGCAGGGGAAGCAGAATTCTGGCCTCGGGAGGCCTTGGGTGGAGCCCTGCCCAGGCCAGATAGTATGGGCGTGGCCCTTATCTGCCCTCCGCAGAACCCGGTCCTCCGGCTTAGTTGCCCATTAATCAGTAAGTGGCCGGGCTGGGGTGTGGAACCAAGGGAGGCTGCTTCTGGAGATGTAAAACTGGGTGCCTCTGGGTCTGCCTATCCGTACCTGGAACTTTCCCTAGGCTTCCCAATGGGCCGGACCGTGGTCGTGCTGGGCGGAGGCATCAGCGGCTTGGCCGCCAGTTACCATCTGATCCGAGCCCCTTGTCCCCCTAAGGTGAGTGCCCCAATAGTGCCAGAGAAAGCCTCATGTAATACTCATTTCCAGCAATAGCTGGATGGATTCTCCAGCCTTCCCTACCTCCAGCCCCTTCTTCCTGCACTGACAGTGGGTCCCTTTTGCCGCCAGGTGATACTAGTGGAGGGCAGCAAGCGTTTAGGGGGCTGGATCCGCTCAGTCCGAGGATCAGATGGTGCGATCTTTGAACTTGGACCTCGTGGAATCAGGCCTGCAGGAGCCTTGGGAGCCAGGACGCTGCTCTTGGTGAGCGGCTTGGGGAAAGTGTAGGGAATGTAGTGAAGGAGGTTTCTTCAACGGGATAGAGTTGCAGAGAGGAGGGACATTGGTGGGTCAGATCTTTACTTTCTCCTCTTCCTGAGGGCGTGTGGAGAGCAGGTTTCCGAGCTTGGCTTGGAGCCAGAAGTGCTGCCTGTCCGGGGAGACCACCCGGCTGCCCAGAACAGGTTCCTGTATGTAGGCGGTGCGCTACACCCCCTACCCTCTGGCCTCAGGTAACACTTTCACCTTACAGCATGCACATCCCTTCCCTTCTCTCCTTGTCAACCCTCCCAGCAAAAGGGGGCCAAATGAATGAAAACAACGCCCTGGAGCTGGGAAGGTGAGTTCAGGAGCTTTCTTTTCATCCTGCCTTCCTCCATGCAGGGGGCTACTCCGCCCTTCACCCCCCTTCTCCAAACCTCTGTTTTGGGCTGGGCTGAGGGAGTTGATGAAATCCAGGGGCAAAGAGCCTGATGAGACTGTGCACAGTTTTGCCCAGCGGCGCCTTGGACCTGAGGTGACACTGCTCAGAGGTGGTCTTAGACCTCTCCCCTGCTAAACTAGCTGCTGAGTCTTCTACTCAGACCTAACCCCAGGGGCTCTTCTGTATCATTTGGGGGTGTACTCTTCAAATTGTCTGAATCTCCAAAGCTCAGTGTGGGGAGTAAATGCCTTCCCTTCTTTCCTACCTTGTTACAGTGGGAACAACCCTAACTTAAACCCTCTCCCACCTTCATTCCCTACCTAGCAGGGGCAATGGAAATCAGTCAGGATAGCTCTTATTCCTTGGCCTCTCAGTCCCACTCTTACCCTTAAGGTGGCATCTCTAGCTATGGACAGTCTTTGCCGTGGAGTGTTTGCAGGCAACAGCCGGGAGCTCAGTATCCGATCCTGCTTTCCCAGTCTCTTTCAAGCTGAGCAAACCCATCGTTCCATATTACTGGGGCTGCTGCTGGGGGCAGGTGAGGGGGGGGAATTCATTCAAAGGGTGAAGATATTAAGGACTGCAAAAGTTAGGTACTTTGGTTAAGGGGTACTGTTTTGATTATCTTTTTTGCTTCTTCAGGGCGGAGTCCACAGCCAGACTCCTCACTTATTCGTCAGGCCCGAGCTGAGCGATGGAGCCAGTGGTCACTCCGTGGAGGGATGGAGATGTTGCCCCAGGCCCTTCACACCCACCTGATTAGTAAAGGAGTCACTGTTCTCAGAGGTCAGCCGGTCTGTGGGCTCAGCCTCCAACCAGAAGGGCGCTGGAAGGTAAGAGAACCCTTTGTAGTGTAGTGAGCCTGTGTCAATTTCATTTTGTCTGAGTGGTTTTATTAGGTCAGGGGCAACAGTACCGGCTTACTATTTTCTTGCCTTTGAAACTATTTAGATATTGGCTACCCCAGGTTCCTAGGATTTATATATGGACCTTCCTCAAAGGCCTTTTAGATGCAAGCCTGTGGGTAGAAGTAGTGCTGAGTGGCCTCAGGGATAGGGAAAGAACACCCCCACTTTCACTGAACACTTCAAAGCAGCTACACTGGCCTCTGTGGCCTACTTCCTAGAGTGGAAAGAGGAATGACTTTTCCTCAGATGACTGTCATTCATATTCTTCATCATGGGTCAGCACCCAGTCTTTCCTGCCTTTGGGGTACCTGGGAAACTGAGAGTAAAACAGCAAATCTCACTTTATCCATAAAGTACTCATTCTCACTGTATCTCTCAGGTGTCTCTAGGAGACAGCAGTCTGGAGGCTGACCACATTATTAGTGCCATTCCAGCTTCAGGTAATTAATGGGATAACCCCTACCCTTCCCCAACCATCATGAGGCAATAGCTATTGGCTTTCTAGGCCAGCAGGACCACACCATGCTCCTGAACTGGTCATCCCTATGACAGTTTAATAAAACAGCTGACCTAGTATGAATGCCTCTGCCCAATCTCCTCCAGTGCTTAGCAAGCTGCTCCCTGCTGAGGCTGCACCTCTGGCTCATGTCCTGAGTACCATCACTGCCGTGTCTGTAGCTGTGGTGAACCTGCAGTACCGAGGAGCTCGTCTGCCTGTCCAGGTATGACATGGAGGTGGGGGGTGGGGGAGCATGGATTCAACTGGAGCCTTTCCTTCCTGACCCATAGATATCTTCCTCTCCAGGGATTTGGACATTTGGTGCCATCCTCAGAAGACCCAAGTGTCCTGGGAATTGTGTATGACTCAGTTGCTTTTCCTGAGCAGGATGGGAATGCCCCAGGCCTCAGAGTAACTGTGAGGAGGAAACTTTCTTAGTGGGGTTTCCCAAGGGCTCCTCTGTGTCTTAGAGTAGGCAAGGCCAAGTTGGTCAGTGCTGTATTCTTTCCTTAGGTGATGTTGGGAGGCTCCTGGCTACAAATGCTAGAAGCTAGTAGCCATGAATTGTCTCAAGAGCTGTTCCAACAGCAGGCACAGGAAGCAGTTGCCACACAATTAGGACTGAAGGAGAAACCAAGTCATTGCTTGGTCCATTTACATAAGGTGAGTTGAGGTAAATCCTCATCAGTTCCCCACTGAAGGCCTTGAAGGCAAGGACTGGAATATTTTATCAATATGTCAGCCAAGGCCTTGGAAATCAGCAACAAACCTTCCTCTGCATCTTCTCTCCTCAGAACTGCATCCCTCAGTATACACTAGGCCACTGGCAAAAACTAGGTAAGTTGGGAAAGCAGCCAGGCTGAGGAAATCAGACTCCAGCTATAACATTCCTTTCATCCTTCCCTTTCAGAGTCAGCTATGCAATTCCTGACTGCTCAAAGGTTGCCGCTGACTTTGGCTGGTGCCTCTTATGAGGGGGTCGCTGTCAATGACTGTATAGAGAGTGGGCGCCAGGCAGCAGTCACTGTCCTGGGCACAGAACCTAACAGCTGATCCCCATGTCCCACTCATGAAATAAAAGTTGCCAGAGCTTAGCTTGGTCTTGCTATTTTGTAAGCCTGTAGGTTTGGGTTAGGGGTTCCAATGGGTTAAGGTAACGTGTGCCTGGGATGCAGAAAGAAGAAGCAAAAGTGAGACAAAGTCCTTTATTAGAAAAGATATCAAAATCCCAGCCCCCGAGCCAAAACCAGAAGAGGGAACTACTCCAGTACTGGCAGAAAGTGCCCAGGTAGGGGCTTCCTTCACCAGACAGCTTCTTGGGAACCATAAATAGAATAAATATTCACAGAGGTCCCAGATGAAGCCCCATGGAGGGGCTTGGGGTCCAGCCCTGCTCCTACTCCTGGGGGTAGAGGACTCCCAGGATTCGTCACATAAAATCATGACATCAAGGATTCACAGTCATAAGCCCTGGCAGGTGACCCCTAGAAAGAGGAACCTCCAGGTCTAGAGGAGCCCAGCTCCAGTCTAGCAGTGAGGAGAGGTCCCCGCCCCCCAACATAGCACTAAAGTTTTAGTTTCCCCCACAGCCCCCTGAGAGCAGTGAGGAGCTGAGGGTGGGGGAATACAACCTCTCTGATTCAGGTGGGCAAGGAGGAGTCAGTGTGAACCACGGGGAGCTGTGTGGTTGGCAGTAGGCAGAGGGCCAGGCCTAGCTGGGGGCCGGCGCTGCAGCATCTCTTGCCGGAAGGCCTGGGAGGAGCCAGGTGGGTATCTGGGTCCAGAGGGAGCCCGGGGACCCCGAGGATCAGTCCCAATGTCTGCAGTGACGTTGGTATAGAGAGGTCCCAGCTCTCGAGCCAGCAATCGGTATGTCAATGAGTTCATTCCATCTTGTGTCCAAGAATTCTGGGTACGGACCAGGAGGTCAAATCTGAGGGTTAGAGGTTTGAGACTAAGATACAGAAAGGAACTGCCAGGAATGTAGGGACATTTGGAGTTTTCTGGCTAGAGATAAGAAACCTGAGACTCCAACAATTTTAGACAGTTCTCTCTTCCTACCTGTGGGGATTTTCCTCATTGCCTTTATCTCCTCGGTGCTTCACCATCTTATAGTGTCCCACAGAGGTGGGGGGCCGCGAGATCTTCATCCCAGCTAGGCGTACCCTGTGAGAAAAGTGAGGGGGGATCTTGGAGGATCTAGAGTGGAAGAAAACTGCTGACAGGTGAATAAGAAAGCAAAGACCAACAAGGAAGGGATTATATACTTCTGTATACAAAAAATAATTCTTCTGTCAGGAAGGAAAAAGAAAAAAACTGCCAAATATGAGAAGGCCAGAGAAAATCAAACAGAAAGAAGGAAATGCTAAAGAAAATGCTAAAGCTGAGCCAGGCATAGTGGCACAACCATGCCTTTAGTCCCAGCACTCGGCAGCCAGAGACAGGCAGATCTCTGTGAAATCGAGGCTAGCCTGGTCTACATAGTGTCAGGCTGGGGCTACAGGGAGACCCTGCCTCAAAATGACCAAAAAACGAAAAGAAAATGCTAAAGCTGGATGTATCCAAATCCATGGAGCCTTAGTGCCGAGCACCTTGGGGCCTTTAAACAACTGACTGATGTAGATTTGTACCTCCTACACCTGATTTCTAAATGGCTCTCGGAAGTTGCCCTTGCAGTCTGGTGAGAACAGAATGAGGCCATTTTGTCAAAAGAACAGAAATTGCAGACCCAGACTCAGCAATCTCAGCCCTACTGCCCTTTGGTTCTGGGCATTAAACCCAGGGTCTGACATATGCTAAACATACACACTACCCATCTCCTTTCCCGCTGCTGCCATACATTAAAGAAAAGGGAAGACCCAGATAATCAGGACCTTACAAGAAACAAGTCCTAATTCTGACACACAGAAGTGAAGATGGCTTGTGAAGGAACTGAGGAAATGCATGTGGAATTTGCTGGGTGCAGAACATACACAGGAGATGAATATTCATACAGATGTCATTGCAGAGGAGACAAAGGGAGGGGAAGTAACAGATCCAGCATATCAAACCCATATGCTCACATCACACATAAAACTGGGACAGTGGATGCTAAAGGTCAGAATGTTTCATGTGCTAAGAAATAAGTTGGCACTATGCCAATGCATAGCCCCCCTCCCATTTTTTTTTAAGTGATTCTGGGCTATAGAAACCAGAGTCCCTCTCTCCCCTTTTCACAGAAGTGGTCTGTATGTAGGCCTAGCAGAAGGAAAAACTAACCTGTCTCTAGGCCTCTCTTCAGATCTGGAGTTCCATGATGTTTCCTATTGATCTTATCTCTTCTCCCAGGTATATAACCAAATCTAACTAGAAAACTGAAATTTCACAGAATGGGCATCAAGTGTGCAAAGCCTGACCTGACTAGACCTAAAAGACTGAGAGTAAAGAATGGGCTCAATGCAGAACCAGGAAGTTAAAGTTTAGTGCTGAAAGGTCATGGCCAGAGTTGCAGAGATAGGTGTAATAGGAAGTCTGACCTGGTAGCAATGTCGTCATCCTCACCACCCCAGCCCCAGTATTCATTGGGGAAGCCATTCATCTTCAGGTACTGGTCAGGAGTGAGTGCTGAGACCCCACCAAAGTACTGCGGGTACGGGAGGCTAGGGAGAAAAAAAATCTTTGAATTCTACAAGCTTGGAGAGTCATCCCTACCCACAACCCCCTTGGCTACTTCATGGCTGGTTTCCCTACTCTCTAGCACCCTTCCATTCCATCTACCTGTATCCAAACTTGTTCATGGCAACAGCAACATGGCGGGGTCCCCGGGGGTCACACACATACAAATTATGATCATTTTCTGGCAAGAGATCCACATCATGCAAGAACAGGCAGTCCCATTCTTCATCACGCAGGGCTTCCCGCACCCCAACATTCAGTAGCTTTGCCCTGTTAAATGTTCCATTTCCAGCCTAGAAGATAATGGAGAAGGACTATGCATGGAGAAGGTAGGTAGCATGAGGCTAAAGTAAAAAAAGGAAATCTAAGTGAGATGTGGGGCAAGAAGAATGAGAAAGATAAAGAACTGAACATGGCCTTAGGACTGTAATCCCCAGCACTCAGAAGCCTGAGGCAGGAAGATCTTGAGTTTGAGGCCAGTCTAGGCTACAAATAAAAACTCATCTTAAGGACTAGGTGTGGTGGTGCATGCCTTTACTCCCAGCACTTGGGAGGCAGAGGCAGGCAGATCTCTGTGAGTTCAAGGCCAGCCTGGTCTACATAGTGAGTTCCAGGACAGCTGGGGCTACAGGGAGACCCTGTCTCAAAAAGACCAAAAAAAACCACCTCATCTTAAAAAGAAAAAAAATAAGAAAAAAAGCCAGGTGTGATGGCTCATGCCTTTAAATGCAGCACTCGGGAGGCAGAGCCAGGCAGGTGGATCTCTGTGAGTTCAAGGCCAGCCTGATCTACATAGTTCCAGGGAACTGTTTTGAAAAAAAAAAAAACTTTTTCATTTAGTCATTCAAATTAATTCAAAATTTTCATGCATATCAGTATGTGCCTGACATCTAGAGTTTCTTTCTGACAACCATGTGGAATAATTGGTATGTTAATTAGTTCTCATTTTAGAGGGGACATCTTCATCAAATATCATACATATCACAAACTGCAGAACTAGAATTTAGCCCACATTCTGCCAAATTTCAAATTTGCATAAGCCACTCAACAAAGGAAAAATCATTGAAGAGTATAGGAGAGTGGGGGTTCTCTAAACAGAATAAGGAGTGGGACTAACAAGGATGAAAGCAAGGCCAGTGCTTCAGTTTCTATTGTCTGCCCTCTTACAGGGTCCCACTGTAAGAGAGAAGAGACATTTACTCGAGGGTTCCTTATATCAGTGAAAGAGTAAGGAGGAGATTGAGGGTACCTGGTGGATGACATAGATGCCATATGCAAGCTGCTGGCGCTGCAAGAAGGGATGCAGGTGATAGAGCAGCAGGCGCAGGTGGTGCTCCCGGGCACGATGGGGCACGATAATGGCTGTTCGGGAACGGGGCTCACACTCTGCAGGACGGTACCGGCCCCCTAGTTCGACCCGGGGATTCCGCTCCATAATCTCTGATAGTGATGGCACTGGGCTAAAGGACACTGACACAGGACCCACTGTTGGGAAGGAATGGCAAGTTCAAGGATTGAAGGTGGAAGAAAAGACTGAGTATTAGGATCTGGCAGACCTCTGGCAAGAACATTCTGGTTCTGGGTGAGCGTCAGATTCCCAAGGGCTCATTCATAAACTGAACAAGCCTTGGGTTTCCTTTCCTTTCCTTAAGACAGTTCTGTAAGCCTGGAGGCTCAGGCAGACTCCTTACTTAGCCTACCTTTTATTTTAGGGTTCTATATAACTTTCTCTTGCCCCACATTGAAGCTACAGTCCAGAAAAGAGAATAGGCCTTCCAACTAATTAAAGGAGGACTCATCTACAAATTCTTAGCCTTGGGCAAGCAGAGCCCATAAATGGGCAGGCAGTGAAAAGCTTGTGACCCAAGACCTTGTCTAAACACTGAATTCACAGCCCACTCTATCTCAATCTTAGCCCACTTGAGAGTACATGAATCTAAGTGGGACATAAATCTAAGTCCCACTCCAAGCCTGCCCAAGACTCCCTGACCCTACACTTTGTCCTCTTCTCCACCTCCTCCTTCCTCTTGTACTTACCTAAGAAAGGTGATCTTTCTGGACAGTAGGGTAGAGCTTGAGGAGCTGGGGGACCCCCTGCAGCTACTGGGGCCCCAGGCAGGTGACTGAGGTTACTATAGACATCTCGGGGATGAGAGTAGTCAAATGTTGGGCCCTGCTCCCGACCAAATAGGGCACTAAGGCTTCGGAAGCCGCCTAGTGACAGGTACATCATGACAGCCAGCTGGGAGCCCACAAGTAGGGCCAATGTGCAGGGCCTCTCCAGCAATCTCCGCAACATTCTGACTTGAAGGCTGGAAAGGGAGAGAGAGGATTTCTGGGAGCAGGCAGGAAGACAGCAAGCCAGCAGAGACATCAGCAGGTAGAAATGAAGGTGGTGCCAGTGGGGGAGGGGAGTGTACAGGCAGGCAAAGTTGCAGAAAGGAACACAGGTGTAATCAGTACAGTGTAACTGCCAGCAGCCCTACACATGTTACTTCTAGTCCAAGTTTCATTTTCATCCACCTCCCCCAACCACTCCCCCCATCTTCAGTCTCCACCCTCAAGAATGCATAAATCATTCAAGTCCCAAATCCATTTCACAAGTCTTGAAAATCTCTCCAATCTTACAAGAGACAGACTCACCTGCTTTCAAGCTGTCTTCTTCCGGATCATGAGGGCTCCAGGGGGTTCCCGGGGGGCAGAGATGTGAGGCATTATCTAAAATTAGAACTGTCACGGAGGACCGAGATAGGCATTCCAACAGCAAATCTGGGACCAGCCGGAACAGAAGAGGTCAAGGATGCATGAGCAGAGATCAAGATCAGGATGAAGCAGCTTTCCGGTTAGGGGAAGTGAGGGAAAGTGACTGGAAAGAGAAAATGCCAGGTTAAGGTTCTCTCAGGCCCTACTGGAGTGTATTGGGGCAGGTCTACACTTAACCCCCTACTCCAACTGGACGGGCTTGTGGAATGGAGGCAGGGACACTAATGCAGTCACGTAAAACCCATTTCAAGAAGCAAGACAGTCGTGACAGAACCATGGAGTGGCCTAGAAGCCTGGGCAAAATAGGACACAGGTACTTTGCGTTCTTCACGTACCAGGGAACTCCTCCGCGGGTGCAAAGAACGTGACCACCTGCGAACTGCAAGCAAACAGCCCTAGAACGTGACCCGAGTAGGGTGGGGGTGGCGTCCTCTCTACCTTTGCCACCTTTCACCAAGCCTAATGGGGAGGAGGGTTACAGCTGACGTGAGAAACAGAGAAGGTAGGGCTAAGGCAGAGAGGGTCAGGGACACCTGGGCGGGCTCACCCGGAGGGGCGTGGTCAGCGCTCTGCTGGGGATGAGAACCCCGTTCTTTCCGAGCACGCCCATCCCATCCCCATCGCCCCTTGCGTTTGCCCCAGCGTGCAGCGTGAAGCCAACCGGCCCGCGTCTACAATTCCACCCGAGACTCGGTCTGTGCCTAGCCTTGTCTATAGCCTTTACTCAAAACTTCTCATCCCCCCGACCGCCCAAACCTTCTTCCGAGGTCTCTCTCTCCACGCTCTCCAGCCCACCATACCTGGTCGACTTCCCGTCGTCACCGGCACCCCAACAGCCGGGCTGACATCGCCGCCACCATCTTGGAAGCGGGCGCTGGGGGCGGGGTCCACGTCATGAGGCGGAGCCTCGCGATGAGCGAAGGACCGGGGCTCAGTACCAGCTGCGGGCTGGTGAGCCGCTTCTTGGAGATGCCAGCGGGTGGCGCGGAGGAGCCCTGCATCCCCGGAGGTTCATTTCCACCTCGCAGGCGCCTAACGGGATTCCGTTTCCCACCTCAGATTTGTAAAGATTTGTTTTTCAGTAGAGTTGAGACTAACCGAGAGCCAATGAGCACTTCTGATGCATGTGACGACCTTAACCCCGGGTAGGCTGAGCACTTTTTCCTACTGTGTCAATAGCGCCCCCTGCTGACTAGTTCTGCCTAGTAACAAATTTATTACTGGTTCTGGCTGCTTCTGAGTTGCTGCAGACTGCTGTAGCAAGTTACTTGTAGCTCCATGATATCCACAGGCTTTGAAATTAGTAAACAATGAAACGTATAACGTGGAAGTAAAAGCAGCGTGTGCGCTCTAAAGTAAAAACATGTTTCCCTAAGTATTAGAGTAAAATGGACTCTACGGTGATATGCAAGATATTTAAATCTGTGGCTTCCATTAGCCCCTAGCTTATTTCTTAAAAGCAAATACTCATGCTGAGGAAACAAGAGACTAATTACGGTGTCTGCCTCAAGGAGCTCATTATCTCCTGCGTGGGAATGGGGAGAGGAAACAAAATAGTCTGCTAAGTATGATGTCCTAGAAATGACACCTCACTCACACGTGGGGATTCCCGGAAGGCAGCTCAGTAACTCCGCTACTGCACATCCTGCTTTACAGCAGCGTTTCCAAGGAAGTTACTTTGAAACTCAGTATAGATAAGTGGCCTGCATCAAATTCTATTCTGTCTGGTAAATCCCACTTGTGAAAAAAAGCAATTTTTGTCCCCATTTTCTTATTCAGTTCTGTACTCCTGATCTGTAAAAGTGTATTATCTAAATTTTCTCTTGTACTGACTTTAATTGCCAGTTTCTTCATGAGTTAAACACAATAAACATATGTTCCATTATTATATGGCTATTAAAAAAGACTCTTCTTAACCAAATGTTAGATAGGCTCTACTAGATCTTATCTTTGGGCCCTATTTTGGTCCTGCCCAAACAGTTTTAAAGAAAGAATCCTGCCAAACCAGATAAGCAAGAGTTTCACCACCACCTTCTTGATATCTGATAACCCTCCTCTGCCTTCAACAAGAATCCTGTTAAGTCAGTTTTTCTAGCAACCCCCTACTCCATGTAATTTTCTTTCCAACTACAAACTCATTTGACCCAAAAGCCTATTCTCTTTCTTTCTCTTTCTCTCTCTCTCTCCTTCTCTCCTTTTTACCTCTCACAATCATCATCTTGAAAAAAGTTATTAAGTGTCAGAATAACTTTTTCCTAAACAAGTATGAGTCATAATTTTTACCTTTTCATACATATATATGAAATATATATGAACATATATATCCCACTGAGACAGGGTCACACCGTATGTCCCAGGCTGGATCCTTCTGACTCAGCCTTCATGTGCTCTTCCAATTAGTCATGAGTCACCATGCCTGACTTGAAATTATCTTTTAACAGATGAACAGTGTTCCAAGCAGAGAAAACCATAAGTACAGAAGTCTGGAAATGAAGAACTTAAGGAAATTTATGGGAAAACTATTATTAGGTTTTTAAAATTTTTATTATTTTTATTTTATTTTATGTGTGTATGTGTATTGCCTGCATGTAGGTAAGTGCACCTGTGTCATGCAATGCCCGCAGAGGTCAGAAGAGGCTGTTGGATCTGATAGGGCTCAGATCTAGGCGACCCCATGTCTATAATAAAGGAAATAGACTTACCAGCTACTGTAGCCATATCCTGGGCTCCTCCATGTTGATGGTTATAGATGAGGTGGGGGCTGAGGAACCAGGACCCCATCGGTCTTTGGTCACCAGGCCCAGAAGATTGGTGACAGACTCCTGCAAAATGGATGGGGTCAAGGAGGAGACTGGCCTACCTTGATGTGGCAAAGAAGGACAATCGATCCTCCAATGACCTCTCTGTCCACATTGAGGGCAGGCTGATGCTCTGTCGCAGTGGAGCCGGAGATTGTCTTCTTTGGAGGAGCCCTTAGAGCTGTGGCCAGTAGCTGATATTTTTGTTTAGATAGGGCAAATTTGTCCATCCTAGCTTGCTTCTCCCGGTTATTAAAGGAATAGGTACATTGGAGCGAGGTGGAGGTGATAACTTATTTGTATCTTATGTGTGTGTGTTGCCTGCATGTATGTATGTGTGCCATGTGGGTACCTAGTGCTCAAGGAGACCAGAAAAAGGCCACCATGTGGGTGCTAGGAACTGAATCTGATTTCTCTATCAGAGAAGGAAGTACTTTTAAACACAGCCATTTCTCCAGCTCCAGATCTTAAAAATTTAAGGTGGCTTGAAGATTCAAAATGAGATAATACTGGGTTTGAATGTAATACCAACTCTGAAACCCACTGACTTTGTAACTAAGTTACACGCTGGGTTTTGTTTGCAGAATGAACCCCATTCTAAGGCTTCTGAGGTAATTATAGAAAAGTATAGAAAAGTGCTATAGTAGGCACCACATAGTTTTAACATCTGAATTGTGAGCACAAATAGAAACTGAGTAGAACCCCTGATTTTTATTTTATTTATTTATCATTAGTGTGGGGATGGGGCACTTGGGGTGTGGTGGTGCTCTGTGTGTGGAGGTCAGAGGACAACTCTGTGTAGTTGGTTCTCTTCTTCCTCCTTAAATGGGTTCAGGAATTGAACTCAAGTTGTCAGGCTTGCATCTTGGAGTGGCAAGGGTGTTTACCTACTGAGCCATTTCACCGGCCCTATACCCTGATTTATTTATTTTTTCTCTTTGAGACTAGGTCTCCCTGTAGCCCCAGCTGTCCTGGAACTCACTATGTAGACCAGGCTGACCTTGAACTCACAGAGATCCGCCTGCCTCTGCCTCCCTCCATAAGGCAGGTAGTAGTGAACCTATTTTTCAAATAAAGAAAACAAGGCTCAAGAGATCAAGTGATTCAAGATCACATTATTACACTTAAGTAAATAGCAAGGCTTGGATTCGATTTGACTCCAAAATCCTGTGCCCCTTCCAGATACACTGAGAGTATGTTTATAACAATTTACAACCTAATGGTGTATTTGTTTATTGAATGAATAGGTGGGGTAAACAATAGGAGATTAGATGAATTAATACATTTTACCCTATTATTTTTATTTTTTATGTGTATGAGTGTTATGCCTGCATATAGGTAAGTGTACCCATGTCGTGCAATGCCCAGGGAGGACAGAAGAAGCTGTCGGCTCCCCTGGAACTGAAGTTAAGGACAATTGTTAGCTGCCATGTGGGTGCTGGGATTCAAACCCAGGTCTTCTTCAAGAACAGTCAGTGTTCTTAATCTCTGAGCCATCTCTCCAGCCCCCTTATTTTTTATTTTTATTTTTATGTGTATGTGTGTTTTGCCTGCATGTATGTAAGTGCACCATGTGCACGCAATGCCCTGTACAGGCCAAAAGAGAGTGTTGGAGCCCCAGGAACTGTAGTTTACAGACAGTTGTTAGCTGCCTTATGGGAGCTAGGAATTGAACCTGGGTCCTCTGGAAGAACAGCAAGTGTTCTTAACTGCTGAGTCATCTCTTTAGCCCCTGTTGTTTTAAGACAGGGTCTTACTCTGTAGCCCAGGCTGGCCTAAACTCACTGTGTAACTCAGGCTAGACTTGAACTCATGGCAAACCTCCTGTCTCAGCCCTGGGTTGCTGGGGTTACAGAAATGTACCATCACTCCCAGCAGGATTTTACCATTATCTTGAGACTCATTTTCAGGCCACTTTTTTTTTTTTTTAAAGCTCTCTAGTGCTTATTTGTATCTACCTTATCAAGAAAGTGTGCCTAGTGTATTTCTCAGTTATATGTGTATATGTAAAATGTGTATCACTATTTGTGAGGGTTTATGAGGCCTGTTGTTGGCTGTGCTGGATAGCTCTAGTGTCAACTTGACACACCTGGGTTGAGGGAACCTCAATTGGGGAATTGCCTTCATTGGATTGGCCTGCAGCCATATCCATGGGGCACCTTCTTGATTGTTGAGTGATGTGGGAGGGCCCAGCCCACTGTGGGCAGTGCCACCCCTGGGCAGGTGGGCCTGTGTTGGATAAGAGAACAAGCTGAGCAGGGGCCGGAGGAACAAGCCAGTAAGTGGCATTCCTCTATGGCCTGTGCTCCAGCTCCTGCCACCAGGTTCCCGCCCTGAGTTCCTACCTTAGGCTCTTTGATGAACTGTGACCCGGGAGATATAAGATAAAATAAACCCTTTCCTCCCCAAGTTAGTAGTGGTCAGAGTGTTTTGTCACAGCAATGGAGAGACAAACTAGGACACTGGCTAACCAAAGACTATAGTGGATGCTTAAATATACTTCCACCCCTCCTTTTCCTTCCCAAGGCTAATTAAGTACTCTGAGCATGTCCCCATATAAGGTCCTCTCTGGGGAAGTTGTTCAGTATTGTTGCTCCCCCACCTCCTCTGAGCCCCCCCCCCAAACCCTCACCCCTCTTTCAGAGCATTTTTAGAACTGGTGGTTTCCTCCAGCTGTCAGCTGGTTACTCTTGCTGCCAATGATTTTGGCTTCTCCCCAGCAACAGTCAATGAGGAAGGTATTCAGTTGGCTCAGAAGCATCATTCTCTTAGCCAATAAAATGTTAATACATTGAAATCCATTCCCTTGCCCCTTCCTCTCAGACAAGCCATAATCAATGAGATACTGCTTTTTGTCGTTGTCAATCTAGTATTTTAGAAAACAACAACAAAAAAAAAATGCTGTAGTACTGTATGGAGAGTAGAGAAGTGGAGCTAGAGATGGTGTAGAAAAATAAATGCCCCTTCCTTAGCACCATCTAGAAAGCTTGGCTCTCCCACCACCACCCCAAAAACAGTGGTTGGACAAATGCCTGGATTTCCTCTGCTCTAACCAAAGAAGCAAGAGAATCTCAGGGGAAGTTTTAAGAAATTCGTCCAACTCAGTTATTGTTTCGATCTCTTTCCCAGTACAAATGTATCCACATGCATAACACTTGCACTTTCTAAAATGAGAAAGTCCAAACTCCACTTGAACTTCTCTAGGGAGAAGCTTACTTCCTTATCAATCACTGCCTCTTCTTTTTCCAGTTCCTTGTGGTTCCCTCTTTTCATCTTTACAAAGAGATACCGGAGCAGTTTCAGTGCCTCCTTTCTTCTTCTTTACCTGTTTCTGTTCCTGCTTTTATACCACATCCTAGTTCAAGTCCATAGAGGCAAAAAAAGTAGAAAAGATTGGGGAGACTGAGCTCATCTTGGCTCATATACAAGGAGGTATGTTCCCCCACCCTCACCCCACATCCCTAGCAAGAGCTTGTTGGACTTTTGTTTTGACTTCAGGATGGATATTAGGTACAGCTTATACTATGGGTATAAAGGGGTGATATAGGGAAGTTCATTCCCACAAGGGATAGGGTGTTGCCTTACAATAAGGGCTGGTGCACTCTCTGTTATGCCTTCACTGTACATATCCACCTACCAACCTACTCAGTCACAGAGGTGGCCTTTAAGCTCAATACTTTTCTGGAGAAAATTTTTTAAAAATTGAGACAGGACCTAATGTAGCCAAGCTGGTCTTAAACTCACTATGATATAGCTGAGGCTGATGCTGAAATCCTTATCTTCGTGCCTCCACTTCCCAAGAAGAAAATTTCTTTATGTCAGTAAGAGTCCTGACCAGCGAGCAAAGTGACTCTTCTTTAAAAATAACATAAGTGAAAGTGATTTACAAAGTGTGAATTTCCAAGAACCTTAAAGAAAGGTAAGGAAGGCTATCATAATTATCTACTCTCCAAAACCCAACCGAAGTTCCTCCTTCCTGAACCCTCAAGGTGCATTAAGTCCGGGTATCAATCTCTGCACTGTTCATTTTGTCTTCATCTTATAGTTCCTTGTGCTGGCCAGTTCTTTCTCTTTGTGCATATTTAATACACAACCTCCTCCTCAGGATGCAATGTGAGCTCTTTAAGGATACAATACATCATTTGTGTTTGTATATTGCATCCACTTAAACAGAGCTCTGCTTTTTGTACTATGAGCTCATAATATTAAGTTCCATAAACATATTGTTCATCCAGTTTTGCTGACTGGATAAAGCAATTGAAGATCACTTTGGCCTCGTCCCATACTCCTGCTGCCTTCTGCCTGATTGGTAAGAGGACCTCAAGACCCCCCAGGGAGCAAGCACAGTAGTGGGAACCCTTCTTAGAGAAAGAGCATAGATGGCCCTTTCCTCACTGCTGCAGAGTGAGCAGGCACTGTGCTGGGTGATGTGAAGTATATGACACTGTGTAAGCCTCTGCCTGGTACAAACTTGGTTAACAAAGCCTAGCTCCAGTGAGTGTAGTACACAACACACTGCCACAACTTCCATGCCTACCTCTCAACCGCATAGACCCAGCTCTGCATCTCAAGCCACATTTGGTAGTCCCCACAGGAGCTGCTATGGCAGAGTGAGATGCCTTTGGTTTCTTCACCCTCCCCCTCACCTCAAGGTCTTCTTTACCTGTAGTTCTTCCTTAACTCCACATTCAGTCCCTTTCCCAACCTCTAGCAGTCCTGTCACTTAAAAGTCAAAATTTCCCTTGCCCTTTCCTGTCCCACCCATAGCACAGACAAGACTGCCCAGATTATTTCTCAAGGAAAGGAGATCTATTCCAGCACTCTGCTGCTCCTCACATTCTGCCGCTACTGAACAGCTGGCTCCTGTCTCCTCAGATCCTTCTTCACGCTTTTTTTGTTTTGTTTTGTTTTGCTGTCTATCCCTGCCAAACCACATCCTCTTCCTCTTATTTAATTCTATTCGAACCTCACATCTTCCAAAAAAATCTGCTGGATTTCTTGATTGGTTCTGGGGTCACTGTCCCAGTCATTCAGTCATCATAAAGGGTATCTCTCATGTTACGATAGCCTTTACTGTTTGAAAATACTTAAGTGTTTGCTCACAGAGCAACCCTATGGGAACAGTTACTATTAGCCCCATTCCACATACTTATTTTTTTTAATATTTTATTATTTTTATTCTATGTGTATGAGTGCTTTGCCTATATGTATATAAGTGCACCATGTGCATGCAATGTTCACAAAGGCCAGAAGAGGGTATTGGATCCCCTGGAACTGGAGTTATGTTTGTTAGCTGCCACGTGGGTGCTGGGAACCGAGTCGTCTGGAAGAATAGCAAGTATTCTTAACCACTGAGCCATCTCTCCAACACCCATTCTACATACTTATAATCTAAGGTTCTGTTTCAGTGACTTGTCTAATATCACCCAGGTAATAAAATGTTGAGTCCTGGGCCAGGCATGGTGGCACACGCCTTTAATCCCAGCACCTGGGAGGCAGAGGCAGGGGGATCTCTGTGAGTTCAAGGCCAGCCTGGTCTACATAGTGAGTTCCAGGACAGCTGGGGCTACAGGGAGGCCCTGTCTCAAAAAGACCAAAAAAAAAAAAAAAAAAAAAAAAAAAAAAGTTGAATCCTGGTTATAGTTCAGACCCATCAGCTCCCATTCCAGTGCTCTACTACAACATCCCTCCTCAATCCCCTCAACCATCACTCTGCTACCAAACACCTGTTTGTGTTGAGGTAGTTATTTTTGCACCTTCATGTTCTCATTGGCTATACTTGCTAATGTTTATTATATTTGCTTCATGTCATTGTGAGCCTACAGAGGTGATGGACAGGGTGTCTTTTCTCTGATAGTCCCTCAGAATTCAAGCTAGAGTACTGCCAACCAAGGGAAGTGAGCCTGTGGATAAAGAAAGGCATAAATGACATGGGTCCTTGCCAACTTCCCTCCTTCAGAGTGAGAGTGGACAGAACAAAGACAACAAGAAAACTGCCACTTGTTGAGCACCTCCTGAGTGCTAGGCATTATGGTAGCTCTTTATTTACATTATTTAATCCTTACAACAAATTTCTAAGGGAGGTATTATTATTGGAGAATGAGAAAACTAATGCTCAAAGATGTGGGGCCAAGGTACAACCCACATTTGTCTGACCCCAAAAGGAGCATATAAATAGCAGACTTCAAATTATATTTTAAAAAATATAATCTCTTACTCCCTGAAGGCCCATCCTACCCTTGGCTCTTCCTTTCCCAGAAAACAAATTAAGGAAAGGAAAGCAGGGCAGGTTGTACCTCCACACACACACACACACACACACACACACACACACACACACACCCCACTTATATTTATCACCACCACCCTGAATTTCCTAGCCAGAATGGGGCCATAAGGGGTGGAGGTGAGTTTCCCCAAGACCCAAGTCCCCTTCCCTGGTGCTAAATAAAAGCGAATAAATACTAAATAAATACAACTGGGACCCAGGACCCAGCCTGCCTTCCCTCTACCTCCTGTCACCTGCAGGGCAGAGGGAGTAGTTCAGATAGGTGACTGTCTCCTAGCCCCTTTCTATTCACCTTCATCACTGCCTCTCAGGGCAGGAAACCAGGGCAGGGCCAGCCTGCACATTAAAACAGAGAGGCCAGGTGGGTCTGAGCCCCCTATAGCCCCTCCTCATGTGTCTTAGCATGAGGCAGCTGCAGAAGCCCCCTCAATTCTCCCAGCTGAGTCCGAGGCCCCGGTGCCCAGGAAGGGCAGCGGGGATGGTGAGGTTATTTCCTGCCTGCCCAGGGACGCTTCCGAAGGATCTCCAGAATCTGTGCCCGGCGGTGTAGCCAGTCTTGGGGAGGAGGGCGTGGTGTTGAAGGGACTGGCCGAGGAACGAAGAAACTGTACCGGAGGCGTGCATTTTGTGGGTGGCCAGCCACCAGAACTTGCAGCGTCAAAGGCTGGGCCAGTGGCCCATGTCCTGACAGTGTCTCTGAGGCTGCAGTGGCTCCGCTGTATCGCAAGCTGACTGCCCCAGGGAGTACCACATCTGTGGGGGAGGGCATCAGTGTGTATTCACCATTGAGGGCGTAGGAGCCATCTGAGAGCTTCAGGGCCAGGTAGATGCTCCGGAGGCCAGAATCCCCTTGCTGCCGGACAAGGATATGGGTGGCCCCTGCAGGGATAGTGACCACATCGCTGTATCCGTACCTGTAAGGAAGGAGTAGATGGAGGGCTCAGCATCTCCTGAATCTCCTCAGCCTGCCCTTCTGTGTTTCTGTGTATGTGTGTATACAAGGTTGTCCTACACCAGGCTGGCCTCAATCTCACAGTGATTAACCTGCCTCTGCCTCCCCAGTGCTGGGTTGAAAGGCAGGCGCCCACACACCTGGCTTCTTTCCTCCTTTATATTTCTGAACGCTTACTAATGCTACTTCTTATTGAAGTGCCATTCCTTCCCTCATCTCCTTGGGTCCTGTCTAATTCCTACTGTTACCTCAGAGGTCACTTCCCATGGAAGCCTTCCCAGATGCCTTCAGGGATTCTCACAGCACCTGGTGACCTCTGTCCTCTGTTCAACACATGGAACACTGCATTGTAACTGCTTCCCCATCTGTCTCCACATTAAACTACAAAGTGTTGAGTCGCTAGGAAAATATATAGCCCCAGGACCCAGCAGAGCAACCAGGAAAGTAGAGGGGGAAAAATAGATGGTGAAAGGACCTGAAGTTTTTGAAGGAGCCTGACTGCTTCCTGCAGCCAGATCCATCTCCACCGCACACCATGCACTTGTCAAACTTCTTTTTGGAGCCAATGATCCTGTCACAGCCTGCATGGATGCAGCGGCCCTGGACACAGACTGAGGAGCTGTCTGGGGAACAGGGGGTTCCATCTGCCACCTGAAGAGAAGAGGAGGAGATATGTTAAGGGGTCTTGCTAAGTAAACAGGGGTTCATAAGCAAAACATCTGGGAAGAGGCATCGGAAAAAAATGGATGAAGCTGGGCATGGTGGCGCATGCCTGTGGTTCCAGCCCTAGGGAGGTGGAGGCAGAAGGAGCTCTGTGAGTTCAAGACCAGCCTGGTCTACATAGTGAGTTCCCAGCCAGGTGGGGCTACAGGGAGACCCTGTTTCAAAAACAGACCAAAAAAAAGAAAAAATGGAGTAACCATTTTCTGAGCACTGACTATGAATCATATGAATCAAGCAGCATACAAAATTCTTTATAAACATGAATCTTGTCCCCAAACTGCTGCTTGAAGTTTCTAGAGATGGAATTCTGCCGTGTAGAAGGGTCATAAACAGAGAAGGCAAGAAGGGACTTTTAGGCCTGCGACCCAACATAAAACCCTAAATTTAGTGGTACTGCCTCCAAATGGACACTAGAGGGCAGCCAACCTATAATAATTTTCTGCTTCCTACTGGGGAAGGGAGAGAGCAAAACTGATAGGGGCTAGTAGTTCCTTCTTCCAGTCTTCAGTTCACCAATCTGTCACACAAAGGGTGATGTCAGTGGTTTACAGAAAGCCTGTCCATTGAGAGACTGGCTGTCCATGAGCCAGTTATTTGACAGAGGAATTCATGGAAAGCAGGGTTAAGGACTTGCCCAAAAGGTCACACACTTCCATTCTCACCAAACAATGCAAAAAGATGAAGAAAGAGGGGGAAGGAAACAGAGCTATGAGAATCCAGAGCAGCTTCATTGGCCACTTATTTAGAGTCTGGGGTTTGTTTGCCTAATATTGAACACCCATGGCCTGAGTGAACCCATGGGCTGGCATGGCATAGCTGTGAAAATGCCAGCAATGGTACCAATGGAGGGACTTTGCCATCAGAAAGCAGAGGGACCACTAGGGAGTATACAAGCATAAACAGGGCCCCAAAACTTCTGGTCCTCACCCGTGGTTCTAGCACATAGTAGTAGCCCAGTGCCCGGGCCTGGCAAGTGAGTTTGCACTGGTCTCCTGGGGCTACACCTGTATATCGAGGGACCCAGTCCATGGGCCCTGGGAAGCTCTTGAAGAGATCAGTGCGGTGGTTGTAGGCAGCACACTGCTCCTCACGGAAAGTCAGTGCTATGGGAATGAAATGGACAGTCAGAGCCTCCTCACACTATCCCTCAACCCCCTCCACCTAGCCCCTTAGAGCCTTAGCCAGCATGGCATCTCTGTCTCCCACAAAGTACTAGGGACAGTTCTAGAAGTATAAAGTCACTCCTTCCAGCAACAGAGGCAATCAGCACCTCTTGGTCCAGCACTCAAGGAACAGTTCTTCCTGGCCTACCATCCCTTCCCATCCCTTTCATCCCTCACCTGAGCCATTTGGGCAGTTCTCAGTGTTGCAGGAACGGAAGCGAGTACGGCGACCTTCGCAGTACTTGCCACCATTCCGGGGGACAGGCCTTGTGCAGTCCCGGGAAGAGAACTGGACACCACCACCACAACTCCGAGAGCAGTCACCCCATGGTCCCCAGGGACCCCAGCCTCCAGCCTGTGGAATCTGCAGAGGCACAGAATGTGGGATTAATACCCTGTTTCCTGGGCTTAGGGCCAATCCCCATCCTCCAGGCCCTGCACCCCATCCCTGCCCCTAGGTCTCACATTGAAAGCCTTGAGCTGGTCCACATGGAGACAGCGGCCACCCATGCAAGCCTGTGTGGGTCCACAGGGGGTACCATCAGCCCAGGGTGAGTGCTTAGTCTGGCACATGGCATGGCCATTAAGGTGGCCAGAGCACCAGAGAGCAGCACAGGGTGGTGGCAGCTGTGGACAATGGTGTGAGTCAGGCCCAAAGGTCAGCTGGCACTGGCGGTCAGCATCATAGTCCTTGCCAGGAAAAGTCACAGGCAGATTCAGGGGAGCCTCTGGTTTGTCTAAGAGGCAGTGCCCTGAAAGGGGGTTAAGGAACAAAGTTAGCAAGGGCCTGTGGGAAACATTCACGATTACCAGCTGAAAGCTTGGGCTTCCTGGGGCCAGAGGGATCCTCAGTTACACTATATCGGATGTTTATTATGTGATAGCACTGATAAAGCCTTGATCAGCACTATATTTTTAACTCATTGAAAATACCTATGAGCCAATGACTATTATTATATCTAATTTACCTATTAACTGACTACAAACACAGAGAAATGAACTTACAGCCACATTTGCATGTAAATAAAGAACATAGGAATGCAAAGCACAGCATGTCATTACATTTATTTATCTATCTTGTGGAAAGAGGGTACATGCATGCCACAGCGCATGTGTGGAAGTCAGAGGACAACTTGTAGGAGTCTGTTCTCTCCTTCCACATGTAGGCTCTAGGGACTGATTTCAAGTCATCAGGCTTGGCACCCACCTTACTGGCCCTATTTAGGATTTTTTTAAAAAAATATTTTATTTTTATTATTATTTTTATTTTATGTGTATGAGTGTACTGCCTGCATGTACGTGAGTGTACCTGTGTCGTGCAATGCCGCGAAGGTCAGAAGAGAGCTTCAGATTCCCCTGGAACTGGAGTTAAGGTTGGTTCATAGCTGCCATGTGGAATCAAACCTGGGTCCTCTGCAAGAGCAGTCAGTGCTCTTAACCTCTGAGCCTTCTCTCCAGCCCTCCTATTTAGGATTTTTGAGACAGAGTTTTGCCCTGTAGTTCTAGCTGGCCTGGAACTCACTATTCTGTAGCACAAGCTGGCCTTGAAGTCATATGGCAGTTCTTTTGCCTTGTTTCCTAGTTTTAGGATCACAAGTGTGTGCCACCATGCTTGATTCCACTATAGAATTCTTGAGACTGTTTCTGATCAATAACTTTGCCTGGTGACAGTCATCCTGCTGTCCTATGCACTTTAATGATCTACAGCCACCTCAATATTGGAGACTTCTAGCCCTTAGAAGGTCAATTCTAATTGCATCAAGCCAACATTTGCCTCCTCTGTCTGTGCTATTTGTTTTGGTAGGAAGTGGGAAACCCCCTAAGACTGTAGCATTTCTCATCTCATCACACACAGCAGAGGAAGCTCGCATGGAGGAGTCAAAGTGGCCCATGGGGAATGTTCCAGAGATGAAAATACAGAGGGCTCGGGGGGAGGGAAGGATGACAGAAATTGAGTCCTACCCAGGGAAAGGTAAGTGTCATCTCTTTACCATAGCCATTATCCAGGAAGTCAGTGATGAAGCTGGCACTGCAGGGGGACCAGGGCTCCTCGGGATCTACATGAGCCATGACAGGGGCCATAACATGGCGGGAGGTACTCCCATGTCCATTCAAACTGACACAGGACTTGGAGTTGTCATGGAGCATGTTGAAGACATGGCCTATGAGAAAAAAAGTCCTGCTAGTGTCCAAGGGTCCCATCCCTGTGGCCTCGGGGCTTCATCATGAATCTGGTTATAGTTGTCAACGATCAGATCCATTCCCCCTCCCCTGACAACCCTGTCTCCAATCCCCTTATTGTTCTCTGGAGGCTCAACATGTAGCTCTTATTGCTCAGTGTTCCCTTTCCCAAAGGGAAGAACCCTCCCTGATCACTTTTCATTGTAGTTACCATTCCCAATCCTAATCCCCTATTCCCTTACTCTCCACTTCCAAATACATATATCCATGTATACATATAGTTCACAGTAAGTTTTCACATGCTATCTTATTTTGGGGGAAAATCTATGTTTGTTTGCGCCCAGAGCAAAGAAGGATTCTCGCCCTGAACCTAGGCCTGTGGAGGAGGAAACACCTTGGTATCCCAATTTGCACTGTGATTGAGTTCACTATTTCTTCACAGCATCCTCAATACTTCTTCTATCCACTACAGTGTTCACATCACCCCAGGGCTACCTTACCCAGTTCATGAGCAGCAGTGAAGGCTGACTGGAGTCCATCATCCTCCACAATAGCACAGCTCCTAGCTGGGTCACACACAGTGCCCACATCAGCCATACCCAGAGTGTCACAAGTGGAGACCCCACATAGGTCCTGTGGAGAAGGAGCGCAGAAGATACTTAAGGCTGAGATCCAGATTAGCTGGTACACTGAGTGCCCACCATGGTCAGGGCCCAGATAGCCACCTATGGCAGTACAGTTTGGACCAGGCACCATATTGCACACTCCAGGAACACCCTTTCCATCACAATCTACGCAGTAGTGCCTCAGTGTGGTACAGTTCCTTGCCTGTGGTGCTGACTGGGGCCTCACCTGACGAGTAAACAGAATGGCTGTGTCAAAATGGTCAGGGTCTGAGTCCTCAGGGGTGTTGAGGCCCCGCTGCCAGGCACAGAAGCTGCGTAGGGTCTGCGCGGCACTGGGTCCCACTTGGGGCCCCTCCTCTCCTGAACCCAGAATTACAAGCCGAGTCACCACCAAGCTGACAGGGTTGCGGATGCTTGGGTGCTTAAAGGCCTTAGCTGCTGCTGCCATAACTGTCAGCAGGTAGCGCTTTAGCCCTGCACCATGAAATGCTGCCATCTTGTCATCTGCCACCACCAGGGTCTCCACGAATCTACTCAGGGAAGCAAAACGCTGAAAAGAAAAAAATGAGAGGAGGATCTTGAAATAGTCTCCCAGACCCATGGATGGCCTCTCCCTTCCCTCACTTCCTGGGTCTGGAACTCAGCAGAGCCAGCTGGACCTCACATACCCCACAGGATTCCTGAAGAGACCGAGTTGGACCCCGCCCCCTAGCCCCAAATCCTTGAGCTTTTGTGGTAATGCTGAGGAATCAGCTGTTGGTTCTGAAAGAGGAGGTTTGCCACGTCTCAGGGCTGAGTGGGCCCCAGAGGTGAAAAGCAGCTGGGACTGCTTAGGGGAGGGGCATTAGGGTCCCCCAGCCTGAGTGTGGCTGAGGCTGTGGGACTAGGGCTAGCGGGCTGGGTTGCAACGTGTCTGCCCTGTGTGGTTGGAGGAACAATTCAGTCAGCAGCTAGGGCCAGGGCCAGATCTCAGCGTGGCGGGTGTGGAAGGAGCGTCTGGTCTGGATTAAGGCGAGAGAAGGAGGAGGGGAAGGAAGGGAAGAAAAAGAGGGAGACCTGGGAGCGGGAGAGAGAAAAGGATGGAGTCTCAGGCAGCCTTGCAGTCAGCCCGCAGTGTCGAAAGAGGATTGACCTGGAGGGTATGGGATGCCTTTCCTCCTCTGCCCACTCCTGTCCTAGTTTGCAGTTTGCCAGAACAATTTTAAAGGCAAAGTCAGAAGCCAAGAGTCAATCCCTCAGGCTTCAAACCTCACTCAGCTAGCTGGGGTGGGCGTAAAAATCAGGGGCAGAAAAAAGAGCCTAGGCCAACAGGCTGTTAGGAAAGCTTTTGCTGGGAACTATGTCAGCAGGGAACTCCATGGCCAGGAAGAGGCGGGGTAGGGAGTGGGGAGCGAGGTCATTCCAGCCCAAAGAATCTGACCCACTTCAGCGAACCCTCCGAGCAAGGAAAAGGGCTGAGGCTGGGAAAGATCAGAGCTTTCCAAAGTAAGGATAGTGGAGTGAGGAAAGACAGACAGGAGGGAAACTGAACAGTCAGAAATGGAAGTGGGAGGAGGGAGAGTGAATAGGGGTCAGTAGGACAGACATGGCCGGAGGTTGGTGCAAGACACAGACTCCAGGGCTGCCTACCTTGGCTCTGCGGGGACTGGGGTTGAGGCTCCCAGGAGGAGCCTTGACGTTGCACATGGGACCTTGGCCGCTGGCAGGCCTCTTCCGGCGTAGGATGTGAGCCCCAGGCCCCCCAGCAGAATTAAGGGTGCCTCCCTCCAGAGGCTGGAGGTGGAGTTCAGCGCCCCGGTACTGCAACACCCCTAGTAGGGCTCCCCCGTCCCAGTGCAGAGATGCCACCGATTCCGGATCTCCATTGATGGTGCCAGTCAGGTAGGTACCTGGTTCTGCCCCACCCAGCATCTCAGGTGCCTGGCCCAGGTACTGCACTGTCAGCCCCTCGACCTGCACACCAGGGTCCTGCTCCAGCTCTAGTAGCAGCGCCTCCCCAAAAGCTGTCAGGCGGTACACCAGCCTGGCCGGGGTGCCTGAGCCAGACCAGACGCTGCCGTTCAGCTTCTCAGGAAACACGATCTCCTCCTCCCTGGGGAGGGGGCTGGCTGGCCAGGCTGAGGGCAAGAAGACCAGCAACAGCAGCAGCAACAGCCGCCACTCCAGCCTGGTGAGCGGCAAAGTGTGCAGCGGCAGGCGGGGTTGGACTCTCCGCAGCCAGTGCCCGGTCAAGCCCCTCCCGGGATGCGAGCCCATCTGGGACATGGTACCGGTGCTGCAGCAGCTGGGAGGGATTGCGGCCATCTGGGGCACCAAGCCCTTCACACCCTAACTGTGGAAAGCTCTTCTCTAAAGCCTAGCCCGGAGACGGGGGAGGCTCAGACTCGTGCCAAGATCTGAGACAAAGTTTTTTAGAGGGGTTGGGGACGTTGGGAGGAGATGGAGAAAATAGCCCTCAGGCTTCAGAAAGGTGCCCAGGGGTCTCTCTCCTCCAAAACCTCCTCCTGTGCCTTCCTCTCCTGGGTCTTTGTCTCTCCCTGCCTGAGGCTTCCTCAGCTTCTCTGGTCTCTCCCTCTGCACAACTCTGTCTGGCTTTGCCTCAGTGCCTGCCCTGCCTCTGCCCTCTTCTGCTGTGCCTTTGTCTCTCTCCTCTTCTCTCTTGTTTCTGTGTGTCTGTGGGTGTCCCCCTGGTTTCTCCCCAGCCTCTCTCCCCACCGGCTCTTTTAAGCATCCAGAGCTTCTGAGTGTGATTGGCTGTTCTGTAAGCCACTCAGTTGGTGGGACTCGGATGGATGTATCATTGCTTCCCAAAGATCTTAGTTTTTATTTTCCTTGGAAAAAAAAAAAAAATGGGACTTGCCCAGAGGAGGGGAATCTCTAGCAGCCGGATGCCTTATAGGCACTGAGCCAGTTGATGACATATCCTTTTCCCAAACCCTACAACCAGCCCTCAGCTGTCTTTTTTCCTTTTTGGTGGGACAGAGCCCCATGGGAGGTAGAGACTCGGGAAAAGGGCCTGAACAGCACACACAGATGAGAATCTGTCCTGGGAGAATTTCTGTTCCTACTGTTCAAGCTGGCATGGCCTTCCTTCCTCAAGTCTTACTCAGGCTGCCCTCTGCCCCACAGGCTAATTTCTAGGGACAAGCTGCTGGGTCGAAAGGGCGGGAACAGGTAAAGAAGCATCAAGAGAGAATAAATGATGAGACCAAGCCACTGGAGAGAAGAGGAGGCACATTCAGGCACTTTATTACCCAAAAGTTTGGGGTGATTCTGCTGAAATGGACATATGAAAGAGGTAGATGATAAAGGAGAGGTTAACTACTTTTCTTTTTATAGGAGGAGGACTCAGAGAGGTATCTCCTCTGTACTAATGTTCCTTCTCTTTCTTACTCTGCTTTCCTGAGTTACCCCTAGCCCCTCTAAAGCGTGGAACAGCCATTCCACTCCAGGGCTCCTCCTCCCTACTTCCTGATTGCCCATTCCCCTGGCTCAGCTCCCAGTAGCTTCCCCCAGGCTCTTGCTTGGCCTTGTTCCTACCCACTCGTAACTACTCTAAACCCTCCCAGTTGCTCTAGTCAGCCAGCCAGCCCCTAACATAGACAAGACCTGCTCTCTCAGGAACCCAGAATTACCCAGAGTTACCCAATCTCTGGCCCCACCTTCCCCTGAGAATCCAATCGTTCTGGAATATCTAGTAATCTTTAACTTCTATTTTCCACAGGGCATAGAGAGAATGGAAATAGGATTTGAGTTCTGAGAGAAACAGGAGCCCAGAAACTGGGCTGGGGATAGTAACTTGAGAGGATGCGGGAGTGTTGGAGGCAAGAGGCAAATGATTCATTTGACTCAGAATTGGAGGGGACTTAGAACATAAACAGTGGACTCTCAAGGCAAAGAAGTGAAGGGTTCAGGGGCTGGAGAGATGGCTCAGTGGTTAAGAGCACTGGCTGCTCTTACAGAGGACCTGGGTTGGGTTTCCAGCACTCACAAGGTGGCTAACAACCCTCTATAACTCCAGTTCCAGGGGATCCAACACCCTCTTCTCACCTCTGTGGGCACTGCACGACATGGACACCATGGACACAGGTGCACTTACATATACTGCAGACAATACACTCATACACATAAGAATAAAATAAAAATAAATAAAATATTTTTAAAAACATATTTTAAAGAAAAAGTAAAGGGTTCAAAAGTGGGGGCAATTTCTGTTCATCCCACTTCATGGTCACTTGTTTCCCCAGGAAATCCCCAGGAAGGAGAATACACTCAGCATTCCCTTCCCTTTCCCAGAGGGGAACCACCTCCTTAGACCCCTGTTCCCTTATTCACTCTGCCTTGTCACCTCCTGTCCCCCACATCATATCCGTCAGAATACTTCCTCTCCTCATTTCCTTCCTGCTCAGGTCACTAATACCTGCCCTGGTGCCCATCATTTCCTGAATTACCCACCCTATTGTGACTTCCAGTCCCATCTCTTGACTTATCACATGCCCTGACCCTCTCTGGGTCCTGAGTGAACCAAGCTGAGGCTGGAGGAGTCAGACAAGGGGCTGAGAGAGCAGAAGGGTCAGGGGCAAGAGGAGCTATCACCAGAGTACTCCTATTGCCCCTTTCCATCCCCCCATCTGAGATGAGAACAAAGGGGGTGACTCAGCAGTGAAAGACAATGGACCTTAGAATGGCAGCAACAGTGTGTGGGGGGTGTTGGCATCAGGCATCAGGCACAAAAGATGCAGTGTCCTAAGCAGCCCCCCAAGAGCCTTCACCCCAGTCCCAACTCAAGCTACCTCCAGGGCTAGGCAGCCTACAGTCTCTGCTGACTTCTCATGGGTTGGATTAACACACATATAAGCAGCGCTCCTCTTAACACATTTAGTGTTTAAGGAAAGAAGGCCCGGAAAAGGGTGAGGAATGTATAGGGTAAAGGGACCAAGTCTTTGTCTCGGCTCTGCGGGAGGTGGGGGGGGTCCCCTTCTCTAGTCCGGGTCTAGGTCAGTTCCCACAGGCAAGGGATCTGGCCCCACCCTTTGGTATGGTTCCCATTAGGTCAATTTTCAGGCTAGAAGTCTGGCTTTCTCCTCTTTCTCTGCTGCTAAGAATTCTCTGTGCCACTCCCCTGTTTTGTCTGCTCCACCCGGCTGCTCTGCTGGTGGGCTGTGTCCCAGGGACCCTGTCTGGGGGAGATCTAGGGAAGGCCTCTTTCCAGTGAGAAAACTGCACAACCCCAACGGGTGGGTGGTCCAGTTGGAGCTGGGCTTAGAAAGAAAACGAGAGACAAAAACTAGTCTCTGAGGCGGTAAAACTCTTTGTCCTTAGAGAATTGGAATCAATTGTTACCGCATTTCTATGCTGTTACTTCTAGGAGGATAGTGGTAGGGTGAGAAAAGTACGAAACTGTCCAGACCGGATGAGGCATTACGAAGGGTGCTTCCTGGGTCTGTGATTCTGTACATTCACTCCCCGTGTCATCTGTAATAAAGTGACTCCAAACCCTTGCACCCGCCTCTACTAATGGTGGTGGCCTTGGCGTCTTTTTTTTTTTTTCTTGCGGAGCTCGCAGACCCTCCCAACTACACTTGAGTCCCCTTTCCCCAATCCTATTCGGGACGTCTGGAATCTTCTGGATTCCATGATAAAGAGATAGTGGGCAAAATCTGGGTGTTCCCCAGGATCGCAGGGCTCAAAAAGCAGGACTACGTCCAAAAGCAGGACTACGGCAGGAGGATGACCAAGGTGGAAAGGGAACAGTAGGGAAGGAACCCCTTGCAAGTGTGCTAGGGAGACAGGGCGAGAGAGCAGTTTCCAAGGTATATGCGGGGGCGGGGGGACGGAGTATGAGAGGGACGTGGAGAATCAGCGTGAAGTTGCCTCAGGAAGGAACCTCAAATTTCTCTCACGCCTAGAAAAGCCTGAGGAACGCCCTTACTAAAGATGACGGCGGTCAGCGTTACTCAAGTGCAGGTGAGGCCGAAGCGCAGAACCCAGATGTTCGGTTCGCGGTTTGCCAGCTTCCAAAATGGCGGCCCCATTGTGCTCATAGACGAGAAGCCCACAAGGAGGTGCACGGATTCACTTCCGCCCGGTTCTCCTTCCGACAGTCCGCAGCCCAGGAAAGATGGCGGCGCTGAGGGCTCTTTACAGCCTCCGCGGCGCTGGGGCCCAGGTGCTGCGGCCCGGATCTGGGATCCGACTGCCGATTCAGCCCAGCAGGTGAGAACAAGGGCATCCCTAGATGCGTTCTCCCCAAGGCTAGGGTTTCTCGAGTCTGAGGACATTCCAAGGGCCCGGTGACCCCCCCCTAGGAAAGAATGACCCAGGCCTGTGACCCTCGTTTCACAGGCCAGATTTCTCAGAGGATGGGAAAGAGGGTCCTGAATTTGTTTTTCCAGCGGCGAAATTAGTGCAGTGAAAGACCCTGCCTCACAACTTAGTGTACCTCCTTTCATACCCTAAGAAGGCCGACCCCTCTCTCCCTGCCCCTCCCCCTTTCTCCTGTCTTCCCGCGCCCTATGGTTCTCCCTCCCCGCTTCTCCTCCCTCCCTTCCCCCTTCTCCCTCTCCCCTTCTCCCTTACCCTCCCCCACCCCAGTATTTTTAGGTTTACCATGAATAAATGTCTTTCTCACATTCATATTCACGAAGAAGCTTGGATACCCAACTTTGCATATGCAAAGCTGCACTGACTCTGTGTGACTTTGTGTTGAATACTGATCTTCCTAATTTGGGCTTTCTTAAAAGTGAATGGGAACAGTGGAACCAAGCACTATTCAAGCTGATTGTATAGGATCTATCTTTAACTCCTCAGAGGTGCTCGGCAATGGCAGCCAGATGTGGAATGGGCAGAGCAGTTTTCAGGAGCTGTCATGTACCCCTCCAAGGAAACAGCCCACTGGAAGCCTCCACCTTGGAATGGTGAGTATTCAGAGCTACTGCCCGGAACCATCTCTGCCCCTAGTTGATTTTTAAGTATTACTGAGCTTTCTCTCAGGTAAAACAGGAATTTATTAGGTACAGAAACAAAGGAAGGGCCTTCCAGAAGAGAGTAATCCTCAATTAAAACCCAAAGGTCCTTACCAAATTTAAATAATTAACATCAACTTTCCCCAGATTTGATACATTGTTATCTCTCACTGGAAAATATGGTTTCCCTATCAGCACTCAAATGAAACCTACTCAAATACATTTTCTTCCATCAAAACTGGCTCTTTTGTGGTTTGAGAGATGCTCAGAGGATAAGAGCACTTGCTGCTCTTGAAGAGGACCTGGATTTGGTTCCCAGCAACCACATGTCAACTCACAACAGTCTGTAATTCCAGCTCCAACGGATCAAATGCCCCCTTCTGGCCTCCATGGGTACCTGTGTACTCATACATACTTGTAGGCAAAATATTCATATGCATAAAATAAAAATTAATCTTGCTTGGTGTGATGGTGCACACCTTTAATCCCAGCACCTGGGAGGCTGAGGCAGGTGGATCTCTGTGAGTTCAAGGCCAGCCAGAGCAATATAGTGAGACTGTCAACAACAACAACAACAAAAAAAAACTCCCACCAAATAATAAATAAAGAACAAAAAGAAGTCCCAGAGAGCTGTCTCATTTTTTAAAAAATACAACTTCCTAACAGGTACATACACACAAGCTAGCTCTTTTGCTGTTTTTCCTCTTTTTTTTTTTTTTTTTTTTTTTTTGTTTCGGGGGTTTTTCCTGCAGTTTAGGATGGTTTGTAGCCACCATGTGGGTGCTGGGACTCAAACCCTGGT